GCGTCTCTATAATTTAACCACCAACCTCATGACAATAAGCTATACTGTAGTAAGACTTTATTTGTTGTGATATATTATGATTGAAAAGTGTGATGCATTAACTTTCTTTTCTGCGTAGTGGAAATGTAAGGCGATCTTATCGGTATCCGTCTTATTAAGCGATATAGCTTTTCTCATTTGGGGGGGGGGGGGGGGGGGGGGTAACTTTAGTGTTTTCTTTTAAAGAGGTGGCGAATTCGTCATGCCATGAGAATGTTAAGCATCCATTGATGGTGCATTTTGCAATTTCTGTAGTTTAGGAAACTTAAGTATTGTGCTAATGTGATGAAAATTATCCCAAAGGCTTTTTTCCCTTTCTTTGTGGATAACTTTGAAGGCGCATGCATCCTTCTAAACAACAACTTTCTCCTGCCTGATGCATTGTTTCATAAGTCGTTCAAAGATGCACGTCATCCGAATATTAATACCTGTACTTTTTTGTGAAGGCGATATGTGAAGAAGTATAAAGGTCTGTTCAGATATGGCGCGGTAAAACCGCCGTAAAAATGCCGCCGCGGTTTAAAAAAAAAATTGAAAAAGTGAATGGCAACTACGGACTTGCGCGTATTCATTGAGCTCTGAGAACTGAAATGTGAATGTGAATATGAAAAAACAAAAATCGGCCGTGAAAAACCCCAAAACGGCCTAAAGAAACCCTCCATCCGGCAGGAGGGTGATATGAGCATTTGGATATGAGTTGTCCAAAGAAAAATGAAAAAAAGAAGAAAGAAACAGGTTAGGGTCACACTCTTCTTCAGTGGCCAGCCAATGTGACAGATGTTTAAAAATAAGCATATTAGGGCCTACTCTTTACGTCATCATCATTTTTTGTAAACGTGGTTTTGCCGCGTCTTGTCTGAACGGGCCCAATGCACCAATCCACCTTTTGGCCCCTCCCATAAATAAATGAATTTAACTTTCAAGAATGCGTAATTGGGTTAATTTCTTCTTCCCGTTTTCCAATATAACGGTAAGATGTTTTTAACTATCGACTTAATTTACAATTCTACCTACCAGCACGACCAGTATATTGTAAACAAATGCATACTACTTCTATGTGATAATTTTCAGAATGTTATTCTTACTCTTTAGTCTCTCCCTCTCTCTCCTCCTCTCTCTCCTTCTCTCTTTTCCTCTCTCTCTCTCTTTTCCTCTCTCTCATCTCTCTTACTCTCACTCTTATTCTCTCTCACGTTGCATGCGAGACTCTATACGGTGACAATAATAACAGAAACATAATTATTATCGGAGCTTTTCTTACGCTTACGGCCTGCCAAAATATCGCATTCCGGTAAAAAGATACGGTGTTAAGTTGAGACCGCGTCCGGGATATAAAACCCCCAACCATTTATGAGTATACGCTTGCCTTTGAAAGCAGTCGCTATTATGTTACTAACTACACATATTAGGCCATTTTTTTTTTCTTTTCTTTTCATCACGGGTGCTTTTTACTGGTCGGGTTGGCTGGGCCAAACAGTTTATAGCCAGTCGGTCGCTCACTCACTCACATATTACGTGCAAAATACATTACATTCTCCGAAGCCGGGGCACTCGGCGTAAATTACCTCCCGTTTCGCTGTGTATGCGCTATGTGCGAAACCTCAGTTAGCGCTAGCTAGCTGGCAATAACTTCCGCCCGCAAATGAATGAGAAAATAAGATAAAAAGGCATAATTGAGCTGAAGCCTCTAATAAAGAGAGCAGTGCCGCCGCGCTGGTCTGGTGAAGAACATGTAAAAATAAGGCGAGTTGGGAACAAGCCGCCGCGCTGGTTTGCAATCAAGATAATGATAGAAATACGGGCAATCTGCAGGCGAGATTTTCCGCATGACGTATTAGCGGTTCATTTGAGACGTGCTTCACCGATCGTGCCAGGTTTTATTGTTACAGCTGAATGTCACAAACTGGATGCTAGAGGGCGGGCTTCATGATGACTCCTATTGAACTTAAAGTGCCTTGAAGGCTTTAAGTGCATCAACTCAACCGTATATACAATATATTACAGATGTTTACTGGGGGAAATTACACTGGGAAAATGCAAAGATATTGAAGGTTCGGTTGTCACTTGAAATGGCGGTCTCATCGAAATTATCCTTTAAAATCTGAAGATGCCAGTTGGTCTCAAAAGTTTGCCTTTTATGTGGATGCATACACAATATGATCTGATTTTTAACATGCATCTTGTCAACCGATATTAAAGACCCTCCTTATTAAACCCCATGCATGCATAAACTGTAGTCAGTAACACAAAATGAAAATACAGGATGTTCAGGGATTCAAATTTCACAAACAAGATAAAAAATATATTATATGTTATCAAAACAGCAGTACATTTGTACAGAAATATACATTACTTACATAACAATACAGTATATACAAATGCAAATGTAATTTACATTATATACAATTCATACAATTGAAGGTTCTATATGTAAATTTCAGTTTTCCTGGCTACAAAATTATCATAACTATGACATCATCTTGTATCATCGTGTCATTTCTTGCAAGTTGATTGTTAAACTTTACTACATTCACATTTAAAGGTAAAGACCAGTATTGGAAACGCCCCAATTTTAAAAAAATGAAATGGAAGCTCTCATTACCAATCATGTGAAAGAATATGTTTTGACTAATACATGATGATAAAAAATTTGCTGGGAAACTGCCTACTAATTCATATATTTGGTAAATTAGTTTATCTATTGGTTTGTGAGAGATAAACGCACGTGTTGCGCACGTGTGCGTAGTCCCATATACCTCTTTCTGTGTACCGTGTGCTTGCAACTTTACAAAGACTGGGCCAAATTTCTTATCATTTTGATGATTCCAGAACCTTGCAGATGCTAGATGCTAGATGATCAACCTTTTCTGATCGATTCCACAACGTTTCTTTCACAATGCAATCGCATGACCATAACTGGTCTTTACCTTTAAACACTTGTAAGTGTATCAACCATTCATTCTGTCAAAGTGCTAGTACACCAAAATGTCAAATCTTTATATTAATATCATTTTCGATATTTTTCTTTGAATATACTCAGTAATATGATTTAACCAGAATTTCATCTGATTAGTATATATGCTTAGACATGTACTGTTTGACTCTTCATGCCTATTCAAAATTGCCTTGTCATTTGGCGGAGGGTGCATAGAAAACCTCCTAGGAACGATACACGTCACATGCATCCAGTAACCATGACAACAACAGAGGCTGGATGCAAGACAGTAAGCCTTATTCCTTTCAAATTAAAATACTCAATACTTCATTAAACATTAAGTACATATGTGTAATTATACAGGAGAAAGATGTCAAGAAGGTCAATGTTTAATTCACCAGGTTTGGGTTTATTCTTGTTTCCTGCCTTGAAAAGAATGACCTAATTTGGACACATTGCAAATCTGAAATATTTATTAATTATGATGTTAACTCTCAATTCAAAATCTGAAGAAAAAAAATTCTGTTGGGAAGGCCTGTTGTCAACTACAGGTCATTGAGGTCAACTATGAGCTTGAATTCTCTATTACTTCCACTTTCAATTAACTGTGAAACTATTCCGCATTTCTATTACAAGAATCTAGCTTCTTAAAAATAGTTTAAGAGAAAATACAATTTTCAAGATAAGGAATGTATTTCTATTGTGTTTGCATAAGGGAAGCAATGTGATTCCCATCTTAATCAATCCGAACTCTGTAAAACCAGGAACTTTAATGAATTTCATTGGAATCAGTACAGTTTTAAGGAGTTGTTCAGATTTTTCTCACCATGAAAACACCGTAATTACTAAGTCACCAACTTTTGTTTATATCCCAGATTTCACAGGATAGTCTCAAGGTTTTTCACTTGCTCTCAAACTGCAAGGAGTATTTTGGTGCGAAGCGTTTCTCCGTTCCTAGAGAAACGGACCTGGGGGGTGTCTCACAAAGATCCTAAGTTGGACTTATCAGTTATGAAAAGCCATTACCATCTTTGAAAATATTTTGTAAAACCTTTTTTAGAAGGCATAAAATGTTGATTAAAATCAATCTTATTTTCTATTATCATTGGAGATTTCATATTCTTGATGTGGATTTTCTGAAAAGTCTAAAATACTTGAATTTTTGCTTTTGAATATATTTCAAATAATTGGCTCTTCATAGCATTTAAAGGTATTACAAAGTTTTGGTACGGGGTCATGAATTTGGTTCAAATTAATATATTGGAAGCATATGCGTTCCTACATTATTCATTGATCGTTATCCCGGTTGAAATCGAGTCTAAAGTTATGATATTATAAATAATAAACTCTTTATGTTGTATAGCTCCCTCTCAAGGTCAAGATATCAATTTAGCTATGAAACAATGTTTCTTGACTAAAATCGACGGATTAGCTATTCCCGTTTGGAAATTATATACCACAACTACATATTCTGAGATTTTCATGGTCGCAGCTACCATTGTACGGCCGTAGGCGCTATTTGAAATTTATCAAAATTTACCGGGAGCACCGGTAAATTTTTAAATTCAATTTTTCTCGAAAACAGAAGTGTTTTAGGGGTTAATTTTTTTAATGCTTATAATACATCCACAGGCGGGCATCCAAAAATATCAAAATTGTAAAGATTCACTATCCACCTAATTTTCAAAATTTCCCAAAACTTTGTATTACCTTTAAGTCCAACTAAGAGTTAAGTTGGACTTTGAGTCTTTGTGAAACACCCCCCAGGTTAACAGCGTCACCGTGTAGTATAGTCTCAAGGGTATTTACTTGTTTTCAAACTGCAACGTCCCAGAGACTGAAAAGAGCTGCTCCTCGTCCCCTGAGAAACACACCAAGGGGGGCATTTCACAAAGCCTTCTTTCAATGACAAAATGACAAAAATCAGTGACAAATCTGCTGTTAACCAATCAGAAGCAAGGATTTCAGTAGCTTATAACAAAAGCTGTCATTTGTCACTGATGACAAGTTTTGTGAAACACCCCCCCCCCCCAGATCAACAGCATCACTATGTACTATAGTCTCAAGGGTTTTCACTTGCTCTCAAACTGCAACATCCCAGAGGAGTATCTCGGTACCAGAGACTGAAAAGAGCTGCTCCCCATCCCCAGAGAAACGAACCAGTTCCACAGCATCACTGTGTGCTACAAAGTCCTGAAAGCTACACTCTTGGTAGTCCATCACCTTCACTAGACGCTCTGTGGGTGAAAGGGTAGAATGGAGGGGGTCAAGAAGTAGTCGTTTGAAGGGCAGGAATGCATTATTTTGTATGTTGAGAGCCAAAAGATTTAACACCCTATTGGCTCCAAACTGATGATTTGTCTTATCATTCACCTGAAATCTATTGATGTTATACATCAAAATGAAATACATACACCCCCTTGCTTGTAAGTGAAATTGAACGATGTTAGTTGAGTTTTGCAAGCAGATGGTGATCTCTATAGTATGTTTACAAATAAACTTCTAATCTGCAGTCTACAATAATCATAGTTTTAACTGCAATTAAAACAGCACCTTTTCAAGAGAGTACTTTGCAAAGCAAATCGAGAGATAATATCTATATGATGATTTGTAAGCGATACCTACATGTAGATGATTTTCAATTGTCTTCCATCAGGTGGGGCTTAAAGCCAGTCTGTACTAGTTTGGCCAGAAGGGATTAGGCCTCCCTGCAAGGTCACTGACAGGTGGTTATCTCATCAGATCAGCTCTCAATTAACCAACAGGCACCACTTAGGTATTGTTTGCTACAAAGAGGGCGCAAGTGGCTACAAGTAGTGCAGTCTCGTTTTAAGAAACATTTATGAAATGTAAATAGGATTGCAAGACAAACACAAATCAGCTTTCAGATCAGTGAGAGTGTACATATATGTATTAATTCTTACCTTGGGTTGCTATGGCAATGAGATGACCTCTAGGATTAAGGTCAAACGATGTACTCCAGTGGGTCAATGCTGCTGACCGTATCACCTGAAAATTATTTAGAAAACAACAAACGTTATCTTTAAATGTATACTTTAAGTCAAAACAAATACTGATATAAATCATGATATTGAAATGTATCACTGTTACCTTTTTCCAGACATTATCGTTGTGACTATTAGTTCTCAAAGCTTTAACAAGGATGACACAACTTCCCCTTATCATGACAAGGGGAGAGGAACTTGTTACTGAAAGGCAGGAGGGTGAAACATAAGTAACCATGCAAAGTAAGATATAAAACAGAAAATGACAGAGATAGTACAGCAACAAAAACCTGAGGTACTGGACAGACCGGACATACATGTACACTATATTAAGCAAGCAGTGACAAAGAAAAAGAGGGAATAAAATAGCACAAGAAAGATAACTTCTTAGTGTTAGTCTTTCTAATTACCTTTTTCTGGGCTAGATTGTAGAAGAGCACTTGTTTCTGCATCCCGTATCCAACATATATGATCACATTAGGGTCTGAGGCTGAGAATCTAGCCATACTGGGAGGCAGCGAGTCATAACGGTTCTGCAATAGATAACAAACAAGAAAATATAGCAATGCATTGAAGAAACCACATTTAGCCTGTGACCATATTAATGGATAGATCGTGAGTCCACGCAACTGCTTTATATACTCCATTACAAAAATTCAGAATTGTATTTGTTATTTCTTTGATACAATTGTTAATACAGTCAAACCTGCTTTAGTGACCACCTGTCAACAAAGACCACATATTTTGTTTCCCTCGAAAATGGTTTTTCATTGAAATATGTACTAAAGGAACCTGTCTACAAAGACCACTTTTTGTGTTTCCCTTTGGCCGTTGCCATAGACAGGTTTGACTGTATTTTAATAAATCTGCACACAGGATTTTCAAGTCCCTTCTTGTATGTCTCAATAACTTTGGCTTCCTTAGTCTCATTACTCTCCATATTGCACATTTTTTAAAGTAATAATAATAATAATTATAATAATGATATGTCTTGATTACCCAGGATAGCCTCATCAGTATTAATACTGTTCTCCCTGAGGGCCCTGCAATCATATTATTACCCCAGCTATTATCTTTTGAAGCTTTAATGCAAGCAAACTTCTAATACCGTAATTAATGGTGTATTAACCGCACCTTTTTGCCGCCAAAAAGTTTTGATGTATGCCCCTCCACCTGGCACTATGCCTGGCAAAGTCTCCCAGCTCAGTAATCGGTGTGTTGACTCACCACTTGGAACTAGAACAACACTCAAATTTGTCTGTCATCTTGGTTTGAAAGTAATCTTTCAGATAGATTTCAATATGTAGTTTATAATAATAATTCCTCCAATTTTTCTTCTATTACACGGCGTACTACAGGGTTCTATCCTAGGTCCTCTACTGTTTTTTAAGTCGGCAAAAAAAAGTCAGAATTTTTTTTTTTTTTTTTTTTAGGGCGAAAAAGAGGGGTGCGGTTAATACACGAGGGCGGTTTATACGTTAATTACTGTACATGATCTGTGAAACGCAAGCCCAAAACAAGGATATACTTAATCAGGGTTATTTCTACAAGACCACAAGGTTACTTGTGGTCAGCTCAAGAGAGCAATACAACATATATCAAGTCTATATTCTTACTGGATCGCCCTTCTCAATGGGTGTGCCGTCAGGTGCAAAGGCCGGAGCAGGATAGGTCAGCCAGTCCACCATCTCACAGAAGTCTTTGGCCCAGCTGGCCCTCCATACGCTGACCCTCCTGTCACCACTGACAGCGAGCCACTTGTGAAGAGCATGGAAGCTGGGATCGCTTGTATCCTGGCAAGAAGAGAATGTAGGGGTGACAGAAAGTCAGAGATGGAGACAAAAATGTCAATAAGGGTGCAACTACAGTGAATCTTGTCCATAAAGACCACCCAAGGGAGACAAGAAAAGTGGTCGTTATAGGCAGGTGGTCTTTGTGTACAAGTTCCTTTAGTACATGTTTCACTGAGAAACCATTTTCAAGGGAAACAAAAAAAATGGTGGTCTTTGTAGACAGGTGGTCACTAAAGCAGGTTTGATTGCACTTGAAATTGAAAAACAATCTTAAAATTGTGAAGTCAATTTTCATATAGTGGATCACTGTTGGTTATCAAGACAAGCAATTAAAAAACTTGTCTCATCATCAACACTTGTGTTAAATTTCTTTTTAAACCAAGGGACACAAAATGAGTTGACATTCTCTGGAATATGAAACAAAATCAGTCCAGAGTGTGATGGACAGCAAATTAATCAACGTAACACAGAAATCAAGGTAAGGTATCTGCAATTCTCCCATATTATTGATTGAAAGCAAGGCTAAACAAATGGTGTATACATTAAATGTGCAGGTATTTTGACTTTCAAAGAGGTCAATGCAGAGAGCCAGTTTGTGTCAATCTTATGATTATCATTAGTCCCGGCTTTATTTCGTGTAAGGATATTGCTTCACTTTATGGCTGCTGGGACAACAGCACCACTGCGCCTAGAAACAATGTATTAGGCGCATTATAAATGTGATCTATTATTATTATTATTATTATTTTATTATTCGATTTGTCAAATCAAGATACGACAACATACAAGTCACACAAATGACAAGAGCTGTAAAATAATTGAATCACATGACACAAAAATGGGTACCAAACACTTAATCCAATCATTGATTTACATGCACCTAATACATTTGAATGATGTTCTTCAAAAATATGAGGTATACAGTAGCTTTTAAGCATGCAAAACATAAATGACCATATCCCTACCAGCTCTTGATGGACTTGTATATCTGTAATGGGTGCTCCCTTGTGATCCTGTAGAACCCTCATGGTCATTCCCGTGGTGGGGCTGCTGATGGCAATCAATCCATTGTGAGAACCAGATAGAATTACATGACCTGTACAGGAGAAATATACAATACAGTGAAATGTGGACGGAAAGACCACTCAAGGGATTCACAAAAGATGGTCTTTATAGGCAGGTGGTCTTCATACACCTGTACAGAAAGACCACTCAAGGGACTCACAAAAGACAGTCTTTATAGCCAGGTGGCCTTTAAACACAGGTTTCCTTTAACACATATCTCAAAGAGAAGCATTGTTTTAAGTGAAACAAATTAAAAAAAAAAAAAAGTGTGGTTTTTTAGATAGTGGGTCACTAATGCAAGTTTGACTAAACAATCATAATGAACAGAATTCATTTTCATTATTTTCCTGGTGAAAAAGTAAGAAGGACTGGGCTTTCTTCTAAAAACCTGTGAAATATTACTCTTCTTACCATCAACAGAGAAAGCTATGGCGGTCACTGAGTGGGCATGAGGCTGCATCTTGATGGTCATCTCACAGCTGACTAGGTCAAAGAGACGAACTGTGCCGTCATGGTAACCAGCTACTATCATGGAGGAGGAAGAGGATGGGGTCTGGGAGGAGAGACCAAACCTCCTGGGGCTGAAGGCTATGCAGTTACAACTCTGTGCGAAGAAAAGAGTAATCTTAACCATTTGATCTATAAAAATATATTCAGACTCACATGAACTACATGTAGTCTCATAAAATACACAAATAATAAATTGTTTGTCCTTTAGTCTTCATAAGATAATCAGACTGATATGTAAAGGAATTCTAACAACTTTTTAAATATACATCTTTCATAAGGCAATGTATTAAAGATGTCTGTTAGAGATCAAATCTTCTGTACTGAACTTATTTGTACGTTACCTGGTCTAAGACTTGGAATTGTATACTGCGCTCCATGTCGGTCAATGAGTAGATGTTGAGACTGCCGTCATGACAACAGGTCGCAAAGAGGTCACTCTCACTGAAGGCAACATCAGTGACCTGTCAAGATAAAGATTCAAGAGTCAAGATTCACGTACAATGTGATGAATGAGTAACATATTACAAATCACCCATTTAAAGGTACATTATTATCTAAAAAATGTAATAAAACAGGTTTAATAGCAATTGGAACGTAATCACAATTACAAAAACAAAGATACAAGCACAATTCACTCACTTTGAGAGTTCTTTATACCAGCAAACTTTGGATGACAACAGAGGAACACATCTTAACATTCCCAAAATGAAGTATGCTATGTTTTGATCACTTAGGCCACGTTCAGATATGACTTTCTTTTTCATGATGAAGTGAAGAAAGCATCACATTTCTGTATCTTATAACACAGAGCTATCAAACAGTGAATATGCGTAGGACCTGTTGCACGCAGTTGCAATTCGTTTACACAGAAAAAAAGAACAGCTTTGTTTGGTTTATTTTTGCGATGGTTTACCATATCATATATGAACAAGCCTTTAGGATGTGCCTGCTGAGATGAAGGTGTGTTACCTTTCTGACAGAAAAAAACCCACTTTTCTTTCACCTTTACCAGAACTCAACTTCTCTTTCAATAAAAGCCGATGACCTGCATCAACACCATCCTACCTTAGCCGTGTGTGAAGAGACCAGTCTAATGGAGGTCCTCTCAACCCAGTTGATGTACCACAGGGTACCCTCAACCTTCTCTTTCATTAACTACCCATGACTTGCAATCAATGCCACCCTACCTTGGCTGTGTGTGAAGAGACCAGTCTAATGGAGGTCCTCTCAACCCAGTTGATGTACCACAGGGTACCCTCAGCCGTTGAAACCACTCCTACGTCCATGGTGTGGTCAAACTGGGCCGAGGTGATAGCGCCATCCAGTGCCATTTCATCTTCCATCACAAGACCTTGACCAACACCACTGAGAGAGGAAAAGAGAGAGGATACCATCATGAAATTGTTGTAGAAAAGTTGTAGAAGCTCTGCATACTTAATTTAAATTTTTTTTAAACAAAATGTGAATGTTCTCTAATGAAATGTAATTTATACATTTTCCAACAGAAAAGTTTTACATACAGTATGAAACTAAGCAGTGTGTGAGTATTGGGGTTGCTTAGAATTAAAAGACTAACTCTTGAATTTGTTTAGCGTCCTAATATCCATGTTCGGCATTCAGTAAAATCAACAACAAAAGCAACTGTTCGTTTACAGGATGTACAGGATATATACAAATACGGAATTGTACAAATGGTTTACTTTGAACATAATGCACTGCTGTCACTAGAAATGTATGTTATTACAAACCAAATTTTGACATCTAAGGTAAGGAATATGTTTGGTTGCAGAAGACTAGCAGGGACTAAAAAGAGTGCTACCTGAATATTCTAATCATGACTTGCATTCCTGTGTGTAACAGGGAAAGGCAAAAGTTAATGCAGACACCAATAAAATGACACCCAAACGACGAGCCATAATCATCTTACAACTTGGGACGTCCATTCTCTACTGACCTGTTGGTGAAGCCAGCGGTCAGTCTGAGTTCTCCCATCCCATGAACTGACCAGAGACGAATCAGACGTGATGCTCCTCCTGTAATCAGACGAGTGCTTCCAAACTTACTCACGATCACTCCTAAAAAAAACAAAGTCAAACCCTAATAATTTTGAGCAGTTTCACAGATAGTTTTTAAAATTAGGACATAAGAAATATAATTACTACAGCAAGTTTCACACTGGATGTTGTAAATGCATTTGCCAATTGGACATTGAACACAATTCAATACATAAATGAAGCCTTTTCATAATGTAGATGATAAGTGCTTCACCTGAATTTCTAAATTTCTAGAAAAAAACAATCAGTTAGAACAATTAGGACAATCTAAAAAAGCAATAAAAGTGTTCTGGGAAAAAAAACCTTACCTATTTCAGCAGTATCTGCATCCCAATGCATGAAGCAAGAATTGTGTTTGGTGTCCCAAGCCGAAAGGACACCAGTAGTGCTTCCCACATAGAGAATGTTATCTCCTCCATACACTGCACTTGTGAAGGCCACATCATCAAGAACCTACACATATCAAGAGAGAGAGAGATGGAGAGAGAGATTGAGAGAGAGAGGAGAGAGAGAGAGAGAGAGAGAGAGAGAGGGAGAGAAAGAGAGAGTGAGAGAGAGGGAGAGGGAGGTAGAGAGAGAGAGAGAGAGAGAGAGTGGGAGTCAGAGAGAGAGAGAGAGAGAGAGACAGAGGAGAGAGAGAGAGAGAGAGAGAGAGACAGACAGAGACAGAGAGAGAGAGAGAGAGAGTGGTTGAATTAAAAATAGCTTCTACAGCATGATCTGTGCTTGGTGTGTGGGCCGACAGGACTCCGGTTGTGCTGCCCATTTAGAGGATGTTATCTCCTTCATACGTAACACTTGTGATCATGAACAACCTTCATGGATCATGAGAGACAGTGTAGTTTCAGTGGACAGAGCTTCTGAAGCATGAAGCATTAACTGCTGCGTCCCAAGCTGACAATATGCACTAAAGTTACATGGAAGTTCCAAGCAGGCTTTAACAACAAGCTAAAATTGGGAACAATTTACCAAGTACATGTACATTTATATTGAATAGGACTAGGTTATTGTCACATGGATTTGAAAAGAAGACCTTAGGGTTATAGTTATTAGGTTAATCTTTTTCTTTTCCTGGCATCCATGTGACTCTCTTCCAAATGTACTCTTGTTTTGTATTCACTGATTTTTCTTTGTCTTTGCCGAATAAATAATAATACAAAATAATTATTATACATGTTTGTAAAAATCTTTTAAAACTGACTCATTTGACTTTCCTGGAGTAATACAAAAGTTCCCTACCATGTTCCTGTGATCCATGAGTTCCTGCGGGACCTGTGCTTCATGGACATTGAGATTGACACGCCCCTGACTCTCATCCAGCAACCAGAAGAGTACCGTTCCCTTCTCACCCACAGAGGTGAACTCGTTGGATGTGTATGGGTCCCAGAGAAGGGAGTGGACTGGTAGGGCCGTCTTAGAGGCTGCTAGCAGGCTGTAGTCCTGCGTGCTCCACACTGCAATGCTGCAGTCGCGGTAGTCACCTGCAAGGCCAGGGTCAAAGGTCATACCACAATACTGCATTTTGGGATTTCCACAGCATTAATGTGAACATTGAAGTTTGGTTGTTCCATATTAGCCCTGCAACTTTCTAATAACTCCTATGCTCTATTGCACTAAATAGAATTGTCAACTACCCTCTTGGTTAAAACTTCTAATAAAGATATACTTATTTCTCTTTACAGTCTATCAAAAGTGATATTCTCAGAATGTTATATTTATCATTCAGTCAATCTTGTTATCATCCGGAACAAAAAAATATAAGAACAGTTTTTATTTTATTCTATACTAAGCTCTTCATATAAAGCCAGTAAAATGTTAGTTTGTGTATTGGTCTCATTAAAAAAAAGTTAGCTCACAAAATTGTGTCAATTTACACTCTGTTACAAACCTTACCCAACATTCAAGAACATTTACCTAATTCATCAACAACAAAAAAAAAAAAAAGGGGGGGGGGGGGGCTAACCCTATTACACCTAAATTACCACTAACTACTTGGCTTAGAACTTACCAACTGAAACCAGAAATCTGTCATCGCGCGAATACGCCAATCCCACAATGCCATGCTCATGATACGACAGTGTCTTCCGGCAGTGGGCGCCCTGTAGATCCCAGAAACAGATCTGGCTCGGTGTCAGTCCGCTGGCTCCGGAGGCTGAAGCAAGGATCTGAGCATCATTCTGGAAGGCTAGGACTGATATCTCTTCCATGTGACCTGTTCATTTAAAAGTAATGAAGTGGACAAATTTGAGCAAAACAAAAAAACTATCAATTACATTCTATTAACTTGAAGCGTGAGTCTGAGAAAATGTGATTTCCCTTACTTTATACATGAATGCTCAATGAAATTAAAACCATCTTGAAATGGTAATCCTACATTTTCTCCAGGCTTTATTTTGTCAAACATGTTGGGTTTTTAGATTGGATTACGGGTGAGGGTTAGCGTTAGGTTCAGGGATTTGCTCCAGGGATGAAGAAATTCAGAATTACAAATTCAGTTTAGTATTGGAAATCGACAGTGGAGCAATTTTCACTAGTGAGAACATTTCAAAGAACTCTTCAAACAGTAAAAGCAAATCCTCACCAAGCAGATGGGTTTGTGAGCTATTGTCCAAGTCTTCTAGTACTATGATGGACCCACACGTGTAGGCAAAGAGACCAGAGTCAGGATGCCAGATGACATTCCCTCGACCGTTACCATTGTAACCGAGCACCCTCTTCAGCTTCAGGCCAGCTTGGTTGCTGGGGGCAATGTAGCGACGCTGGAATAAAAAACAAGAGGTCAGTTCTTTACTGACGAATTCAGGAATATGCCAATGGTTTTTGTTTCGTTATATCATCTGTTTTGAGTCAGAAGGGAGATAACTCTTTGTAAAGTGATATGATTTAACATCATTTTAGCTTCAAACAGACACAATATATTTACATTTCTGTATTTCATTTTTAAAACAGTAACATCACAATTATCAGGTGTTACTGGGGTAAGAATGAAACAAAATTGCTCTGCCTCTGCATTTTACTGAAACAAGGGAACATAATATCCCATGCCAGTGGTAATCAAAGGCTTATACAATACACAAGCATCATAACACCACTGCATTACTCAATTTGAAAGACGCTCCTTCCACGAAGCATATTTTAAATTTATTGGTGACAGCAGATTTATAATTTCTCAAACAAACAGGTAGACTTGACTAATTTTTCTCCCAGTATAGTCGAAATGATGCAGCACTGCGTAGCATTTACAAGCTATTTTCATATCAAGCTGAAGAGATGTACTGTTATTGATCTCAACACCCTTAGAACAGAAATATATCGCAGAAAATAATAACATAAAAATGATATTTAATTATAAGCAATGATGATTGTTTTTCCACTAACACACATTTTTACTGTTGATGGTGACTGTCGAGACAATCCCCACTATGGTTTTTATACAGCAACCGAATTCCTATTTCTTTTTACTGTCAACTGTTTTAATAATAATTATGTATAAGTATTATTTCTTTTATATTACCTGTATGTTGATGTTACTGTTTTTATTATGAAATTGAATAAATGCTGAATGCTGAATTGAGAGACCATCAAATTGGTGATATGTGCCACCCTGTATAAATATCAGAAATAAATAAATGAATAAAAGGTATCCATTGATATTTTTATCCGATAGACCACTACATATGGTTGTTCCTTTCATTGGTAGACTTTACCCATCACCATACACAGCAAACCTGCTCACTCCTATGCTGTCATAGGCAAACCATGAAGAACGAAAGAAGTCTTACCTGGGCAAGCTGAGACACGTTTGGCTTCGCCACAAAGTGACTATAGCATCTCGGCCTATCATGGGACGTTGCATCTTTGCTGACCGAGGACAGCTCTGATTTCATGGTTTCCATGGAGAATACGCCCTGAGGAGCTCCTCCCATGTTAGTACCTCCTTGCTGAGATGGTCCAGGACTAGGTCTCCGATGGGACCGTGTCCTCTGACTGGACCCTAGGGTCTCTGGTATCAACGTAACCTCCTACAAGAAGAATAAATGATAGTATCCGGTAGCTGAATTTTCACTGCAAGCAAAAATCATCTATTTGAAACGTGTCACAAAAAAGAAAAGAAAAAGGGATAAAAATGTGATAAAATGCCAAAATGTTGCATTTACCTTGTGTCCCAATCCTGGTCATGTGATAAAAGCCTAAAAATAAGAGTTTAAGAGAGTTCATGATCTAGTCCTGACAACAGTTAACAACTGAATTATTCATACCCCTCGTAAATTTGGTGTTTTTCATATTTCAAGAATAAAAGGCGGACTCGTTGAATTAGGGCCTTTGTTGAATACTTTTAGATGTAAGCTTTAATATCTCACATTTGTCAAGAAAGAAAAATCAGGACAAATCAATTGTTCACATGCTTAAAAATCACAAAACTTGGTAAGGGTATGAATAACTTATTTGTTAACTGTATATCATCATACATGTACGTTATATTCATATGGACATGGTGACATAGCGCTGTATTATCAAAAAAATTTGAAATTTGATGTGTCTAACTAACCTCATCAGATGACATTTCACTCCTGCTCTCCAGATCTGGTCCGATGAGAACTTCTTCTCCTGATTCATATGTACCTCCTGAAAAGAATAGTGATTAATATAAAATGGGTTCAGGAATGTAGCCAATGAGAAGCATCAAAATAGATCATGTGTCCGCACATTATTTTTTATTATATCCTGCATCAAAAATTTGTTGGCTTTTGATTGGTTGAGAGCTCGTCACATGACCAGAAATATTTGACCTATTTTTAGAAAGTACTATATGAGAGTACTATTTTGGTTTACTATTTAGGAGTTGAAAAAAAAATGTGAATTTTTTTTTAATTGAATCGATTTAATTTTTCAAATCTTAATTTAATGAAAACCAAATATTTTAAATCTTTTTAGATAAAAATTGACATTTTTTTTGTTCTAACATTTTTTTTCCCAAAAATGTTTTTTTTTTTTTTTTAATAAATTTTTGATGCAGGATATAAAACAAATATACCATGCCTTCTATTCGAGGTACTGGTTAAACTATGGGCCTCGGAGACTCCAAAAGTACCATTTGTACCAAAAGTACCTCTTGCGCATAGTTTTAACCAAAACCTCTCAAGGCAGTGTATATTTGTATACTATATGCATGCACTGTACCATCTGCATGGGGATGCATTTCGTTGATAACAACCGTGGATGAAGGTTGCGGGGAGAAATCTTATAGTCTTTTTAAGTAAGATTGTCGATTAATTTTATAAAAACAAATAATAGACGGGTTTTCGTTTGTGACATTATGGCGATGCAGCGCTATTCGGGTATTCACAATGGCACAAAATACACTTGGCTACGCCTCGTGAATTTTATTGCACCATAGTGAATACCCTCATGCGCTGCATCAACCACACACACTCACACCTGTGTATTATTTGTATAGTAATAACTCTTTATTAAATTTCTATTAGTCCTTTAAGGGAGAGACATATTAAGTTGGATTTCAAGTACAAATGAAACTACAAAGACATAGTACGTTTGACAATAAATGTACAAAAACTATCTGTAAAGCGCTTTGCATTTATTTCATGTGTACTAAAAGATAAATTATACAGCTCCTCACTCTCACTATCTCTTTCTCGGATGCTGCTAATGTCAGTCAGCTGGGTGGGCGTGGCTGGCTTGGGTACCTGGTGCCGTGGCAACAGGCTACCATTCAGATCAAAGGTCTTTGGTTGTTTTGGTGTAGCACCTCCTGGGGGAAAAAAAATGAGATAATCAGAGAGAAAACAGCATTACACAAGGCATTCTATAAAACAAACACATACCAAAACTGGATTGTATATATTTTTCTGGGATAACTACAAGTTAAATGTCATATAGGGAGACAAAAAAGATGAGTAAAATCTCTAAATAAAAAACAAGGGTTTTGACAGATATTGTAATAAAGGTATTCAGCAACATAACCACATATAAAAACTGGATCTTTCTCACAGACTATTACAAATTTAGCATAATTTCTGGGTATAAAAACCTCACCCACAGCTCACAATAAAAACATGACGCATTAACTGCAACAACGGACCTACATATACATATTTAGGGGATATCTCTTTTTTTCTTTCCTATTAATAATATATATAAAGCTGTGGACAAATTTAAGAGATAAAGTAATAAGTAAATTTATTGAAACATTGCCCCAGGGGCTTTCTACTGCAAAAATTGACTGCAAGTAATAGTAAAAGAAAAAAAGGCATGTGAAATATAAGAGATAGTACTCACTTGATGTTTTCAGAGCACTTGTGACTGTTTCACTGAAAAAAAAGCAAAATTGAAAATTATGTTAAAATGTGAGAACACTAAATGAAATAAACAAAATTAAAATGGAAGTGAATTAACAATAGTAGAAATAGACTGCATAAAGAAGGCTATAAATACCATGTTCTTTACAAGCAAGTGAACTTTTTGTACAGGTTCCATCAATACAATAAGAAACAAGACTTAAAGGAACCAAATGTGGTCTTTAATCATTTTTGTATAGGTGGTCACTTAAAGGTATTACAAAGTTTTGGGAAATTTTGAAAATTGGGTGGATAGTGATTCTTTACAATTTTGATATATTTGGATGCCCCTGTGGATGTATTATAAGCCCTAGAAAATTTAGTCCCTAAAACACTTCTGCTTTCGAGAAAAATTGAATATAAAAATTTACCGGTGCTCCCGGTAAATTTTGATAAATTTCAAATAGCGCCTACGGCCGTACTATGGTAGTTGCGACCATGAAAATCTCAGAATATGCAGTTGTGATATATAATTTCCAAATGGGAATAGCCAATCGGTCGATTTAAATCAAGAAACATTGTTTTTTAGCTAAATTAATATATTGACCTTGAGAGGGAGCTATACAACATAAAGAGTTTATTATTTACAATTTCATAACTTTAGACTCGATTTCAACCGGAACAACGATCACTATATATTGTAGGATCGCATATGCTTCAAATACTTTCATTTAAACCAAATTCATGACCCCATACCAAAACTTTGTATTACCTTTAAATAACGAGTGAACACGAGAGAAAAACAGCATTTATACAAGGCATTCTACACCACAAACGCATGCCAATACTGGAGCGTATACCGGTATCTTTCTGAGACCATTACAAATTTAATGTCATTTAGGGGGAAAGGAATATTATAGGTTGCACTGTATAGAGCCAAGGGCATTAACGAATATCCTTTAACACATTTTTAAAGCCCTTCTGGCTCCAAGCAGCCGATATCTATCATCCGTTCCTATCAATGTGTGTGCTTACCTATGGGTAGATGGCACTTGAGTGCTCCCGAAGAAATCCCAAATGAAGATAGCATCCCCGACCGAGACAACGTTCATGCCATCAGGTGTGAACAGGACCTGTTTAATCACATCCGAGTGACCGATGAAAACCTATGCAGAAAAAGGAGAGTTCACACACAGACATAAGATCAAAGTATCAATCCCTTAATTTTTGAATGTTTTAATAAAATCTTTATTCAAATACAAAATCATGGATGACATCATAATCTTATGTTAAGATAGCATCAATGGATGAAAATAACATCTTTTCAGATGTAAAGAATACCAGAAAAGACCCACAAAAAAAAAAACCCATATGAGCAGTGCACTTTGCAGGCATAAACTATAGTCAGTTGTAGTGCATAACAGAGTGTCTGAACTGTGACTGCATGGTCTACTGAACACCATAGGCTCTGCTCCTGGACACAGACAGAGATTGTCAGAGTTTAGGCTCTGCTCAACACTTTAAGGAATTATGTGTATTATTTCAAATTAGAGTCTGTGCCTGGGAATGATTTAGCTCTCGAAGCTCTGAAAATGTAAACAAAAAAACACACCTCAATATCCTGTAAGGAAATCACACTTTCACAACACCAATTCATGAAAGAGCTCCAGCAAACAGAGAACAATTTTTTTTCTCTCTATTTCACTGGATGAGACACATCGTCCCATATACGTGAAGCTAAGAAAACTGGATACCGTAATTAAACAGGTCATAGAGAGTTCACATACAGACTTAACTTCATTGCAAAAATCAAAGAGGAGATAGCGATAATTCAGAAATATTATATCTTGTAATAAGTGAGAACAAAATAAAAAAACTAATATGAAAAGTGTGTTTCAAAAAGCAAATGTAAACAATGAGAAGGACATTGAAAGGACAAGTGCAAGTATTGAAATTGTACAAAATGTGACTCTCTCACATTTTAAGATCATCAGATCAAGAAATCTGCAAGGTAAAAGGGAAAAGGGGGAAGAGGGGGGAAAAGGGGGAGAATGTCAGGAAAGATATTATTTCAAAAATATACCTGGAAATTGAGATCCAATCTCATGTGATAGTCCCACACCTTGACAACCTTGTCACCTGCCGTAGCCATATGCCTGCAGTCCTCACATACATCCAACCCAGTCAAGCCAGACCGATGGATACTCGAAACCTAAATTTAAAAAAAAAGGAGAAATATGCTGTAATTATAGTTGCACAGGAGCATTAGATGGAAAACTGCAGAGGACTAAATAAAGAAATTTTTTTTGTGTGTGCTTGAAACGATCGCTGATTTCGCATATGGTTGAAATTCATAAAAGTTTCATACCATTGAATAATTGATAACAATATTAACAATTTTGCAATTTGCTAGTATGTTGCCATGACAAAGGTAGTCGCATAAGTTTCTTGTCTCAAAAGTTTATGGTTTTAAAATAGATTTCTTCTAGGGATCTAGAAAAACTTACAATACTTTGAGGGTAGAACTACCTTTAAGAATAATCAGACGTTCTTCAGGTACTGGTTATGTGTGTAAAGAAAGCTTTGAGCAGCTCCTAAGTCGGAAAACATTCAGCTCAATTCAAATTATACCACATTACTAATGCACGGCACTTATGGTGATATTATTCTTGTATTGCGTGTGTCCCATTATAACATTATATGTCAATGAGCCTCCAAACGGGTTTTAACTCTTTGCCCGCCACGTACACAATCTCCCCTGTGCCACATTGTTTTTAGGGTGCCACCTTAGGAGGGGTTCTGCATGGACTATGCTTATTCAACTCGCAATAACTTTTGATTGGTGTACTGTAATGAAAAACTTTGTGTAGCAATATTGTATAGAAATTAATAGTCTTGCCAATGGTATCATTTTTGTAATGTATATTATCATAAATTTTGAGATTATCAACTATACATTTTGTATCCAAGTTTTCGTTTAGAAGGGTATTCTATACCTCTTATATCTAATACTTTGTTATGGAGGTTTATGTCCTGAGTTAGTTCATTGAAAAGATGTATTCATGAGCTTTCACTACATACCAAATTCATGTGTTGAAGGTCACAATGAGCCTGGTAATTTAGGATTGAATAAAGAGTAAGCCGACAATGAACTAATCTCCTATTGAAATTGACCCTGGGTACTTTTGAATAGACTTCCTGTCTCTTGATTGTACTTTGATGACCTTTATTGTGTCTGTAGGTAAGATGGCGTAACATTCTATTATTACTTGCAAGGCTGTGCAAGCTATTAGAATTGAAAGAAATGAATAGAAGAACTTATTGAATTTCTACACTAATAAGGCAAGCCATGAACATAATGTATGCTTGAAACATGTACTAAGTTATGAATTGTAGAAAGCTCGTTCGTTCGTTCGTGCAAAGAATATCAGGGAGTACATCATCTAGATAGGAAGATCCTTATTGAGCCAACAGATCGTCTCATCATCGAGCTCACGAAGTCCGGAAGCGCCGTGGGGGGATTTGTAGATCGGACAATCATCAATGACATGATCCATAGTTTGGATCTCTCCACAGGCGCAGTTTGGTGATGATTCAGCTCCAATTTTATGTAGGAAATATTGTGTGCGGCCAACTCCAGTTCTGACACGGTTTAGGTTGACCCAGGCTTTTCTTGGGAGGTCGCTGCCACTTGGTTTTGCACAGGGCTTTGGGATGAACTCCTTCAGGTTGGTAGTGGACGAATTCCACTGGTCTGACCAGCGTTTTGTTATCCAAGTGGCTAAGGTGGAGGGGGGGTTCTCAGGCCGCAGCTCAGCAGCCTGTGTTGCAAAGTGTCTTCTAGGGAGACGCTGTCCTTCAAAGGCAGAGGGGGCAGGAACAAGGCATTTATCTCTGTCATGCTTTTGGGCAAGCTTAGCATACTGCGCATCTCGTCTGAGCTGAGCTGGTGGTATGCCAGATAATATTGGCAGGTTGCTGACTGGTGTTGCAGTGAGTGTTCCGCTGTTTAGTCTCATGGCGTCATTGAGGACAACATCAACCTTGTGTACATGGGTGCTGTGGCTCCATGCAGGTGCAGCATACTCGGCAGTGGAGAAGGCAAGAGCTAGAGTGGAGGTGCGAAGGGTGGTGAAATTAGCTCCCCATCCGGTCCCTGCAAGCTTCTTTAGGAGAGACACTCTGGCTTGGGTCTTTTGGGCTGTGGCTTTGGCATGCTCGTGGAAGGTGAGGCTTCGGTCAAGAGTGACACCTAGGTACTTTGGTGTTGAGACGAAGTTCAGCCTAGACCCATCTAGTGAGATATTCAGCTCTCGGTTGGCGCATCGGTTAGCCAGGTGGAAGACGGAGGATACAGTCTTTGGTATGCTTATCTTAAGATGCCATCTGTTGAAGAACTCGGCTAGCATTTTCAGGTCCTTCTCCAGTGATGTTTCGATTGCTTCGAAGGAGTGGTTGTTGAACCCCAGTGCGGTGTCGTCTGCGTAGGAATACTGCATGCATTCCCCTTTGGGCATATCAGAGACATAGATGTTGAAAAGTATCGGAGCGAGGACAGAGCCTTGCGGCACACCATTGCGGAGTTTCCTCTTCCTACTGCATTCGCCGTTTGATGTTTCGAGGACAAATGACCGGTCTTGTACAAGCAGCATGATGAATTTCACGATTCTTACATCTGGAATGGTCTGCAGGGTCTTGAGGTATAAGCCACGGTGCCATACTGTGTCAAATGCCGCAGTAAGGTCGACAAGAACTGCACCAAACTTCTGCTTCTTCTGGAAGGCCGTCTCTATGTCGTTTACAAGCCTGACTACTTGGTCGGTGGTTGATTTACCTTTCCTGAAACCTGCCTGTGTAGTAGGTAGCTTCTCTTCGACAGTGTCAACGATTCTGGCAAGTAGCAGCCTTTCAAGTAGCTTGTAGATGTGCGATAGCAGACTGATTGGACGGTAGCTCTTGGGTTCGTCTGCAGGCTTCTTGGGCTTCAGAATGGCAATAACTTTAGCGGTCTTCCATTTTGATGGAATAGTGGATGTTATCATGCAGGTAGAGAGAAAGGCTTGTAGCCAGGAAGTAGCTTTGCGACTCATGTTCTTGAGGAACTCTGTGTGGATGTTATCGTTGCCTGGCGCTTTGCCGGACTTTATTGATTTCAGTGCAGTTTCAACCTCATCCAAGGTGAAGGCTTCAGACATGGGGGTTGACTCTGGAGTGGACTTGAGGAGGTTCTTTATCTCAGAGTTCACCGAGCGAGAGTGGACTTTGGCCTCAGTGGTTTTATCTTGCCACTTTCCATTGTTAACTAGGACTGAAGCGATGGAGTTTGCTGTAACAGGGCACTGTTTTGGAGCGCTGCTTCGACCAGTGAGTTTGTTGATGGTAGTCCAGGCCTTGCGACTAGAGTGGGTAAAGTTGATCTCAGAGACTTCTTCTTCCCATCTAATCCTCCTCTTTTCTCCTAGTGATATCAGCAGGTCGTTCCCTACAGCTTCTCTTTCTTCAATGGTCTTGGACTTAGTGTAGGATTCGTACAGACGGTCACATTCTTCGTCCCAGCATGGAATATACGGGTGTCTCCTGCCCCTGGGGATGGAGAGTTTTGCCGCCTGATGTAACATGGAGCAGAAAGCAGAGTAAGAGTCATTCACATTACTGGTGGAGGGGTCTGGCAGTCGAGATGTTAGCTTGTTGGTGAGTTCCTGGAACTTGGGCCAGTCAGCTTTTCTGAAATTCCATCTCTTCTTTGGTAGGTTGGAGAGTTGAAGCTTGATGTCGCTTGAGATGATGATTGGACAGTGGCCAGACCTCGGGAACTTTGGAAGGACAGTTCTTGAGCAGGTGTGTCTGATGTTTGATGAAACCAGTGACAGGTCGGGGCAAGTCCATGATTTGTGGCTCCCTGAGTAGAATGTGGGGTTGTCCTTGCTGTTATGCAGTATCACTAGCTCCTGAGATTCAAGCCATTCAAAAATGAGCTTTCCATTCTTGTTGGTGTTAGGGTATCCCCAGGCGGTGCTGCGACTGTTGAAATCTCCGCAGACAAAGGAGTTCCGGGGCATCTTTGGGAAGAGCATGATTTCAACATCTTCCGGTGGTGGCTTATACAGATTGCAGAAGTGGGTTCCCATAGCTTCAAAGGTGCTCCACTGTAGAGCTGAGTTCGCAGGAGATCGCCCAGTGGTGGATGCTTTCATGCCTTGTTTGACGTAGGATGCAATACCATGCTTCTTGTGTGGAATGAAGCAGATCAGATCAAAACCTTCGATGTGAAGCTGTTCTTCTGTCTCGCAGTGTGTTTCTTGGAGACAGATAACATTGACACAATTTTCCTTTGCAATATGGGGAATCAGATCTCGCTTTGGGCGGGTAAGGCCTTCAGCGTTGAGTTGCAGTACGCAGGTCGAGGTGTCAGCCATCATCGTGATGGCTTGTCCTTAAAAGGACACGAGCTTCCAGGAACTGCGTAGGGAGCTCTTCTGATGATAGAGGGCTAGAGATGTACTGGCGATAAGATCGCGATGATAGACTTCAAGGTGTTGCTTTAGTTGACAGATGTCATTATGGTTGACAAGTGTCGTAACAGGGTCGCCAAACGAGAAGGCAGCAACATGACCCCAAGTAGAAAGCTGATGTATAATAAATAAGAATAAAATATATTCGTCTATGTAGTCTCATATTGACATGTTCATTATAACAAGAGGTAGACAGAGAGAGGGAGAGAGAAAGAAAGAGAATAAGAACGAAGAGACAGGCAGATTGGGAAAGAAATAAGAAGAGACAGGGAGAGATAGAGAGAGAGAGAGAAAGAAAGAGATATAAGCAGATACAGAAAATGAGAGTGAGAAGATAGAGATAGAGGGGGAGGGGAAGAAGAAAGAGACAGGCAGATAGGGATATAAATAAGAAGAGACACGGAGAGAGAAAGACAGATAGGCAGACGGAGAAAGACAGAGGCAGGTTGAGATAATGAGAGTGAGAACAAGATAGAGAGAGGCAGAGAGAGGGGAGGAAGAAAGAGACAGGCAGATAGGGAGAGAAATAACAAGAGACAGGGAGAGATAGAGAGAGAGAGAGAGAGAGAGAGAGAGAGAGAGAAAGAAAGAGATAGGCAGATACAGAAAGTGAGAGTGAGAAGATAGAGATAGAGGGGGAGGGGAAGAAGAAAGAGATAGGCAGATAGGGATATAAATAAGAAGAGACACGGAGAGAGAAAGACAAATAGGCAGACAGAGAAAGAAAGGCAGAAAGAGAAAGTGAGGATGAGAAGATACAGAGGGGCAGAGAGAAATAAGAAACGAGAGAGAGAGAGAGAGAGAGAGAGATAGCGGCAGATAGAGAAAGTGAGAGTGAAAAGAAGATATAGGCAGGGAGAGGGGAAGAAGAAAGAGACAGGCAGATAGGGAGAGAAATGAGAGAGAGAGAGAGAGAGAGAGAGAAAAGAGACAGGCAGACAGAGAGGCGGATAGATAGAAAGAGAGAGATAGAAGGAAAAGGGACGGAGACAGAGAAAGTCAGGTATAGAGAAATAGTCTTATCCACTCCTCAGGCTCATCCTCTGCTGAAACCATCGACACATCATCCCTAATTTCCTCTTCAAACTCGCTGTCTGAATCGTGATTGATGTCCACGCCATTATCATGTTCTGTGGGATTACGCAAAAGTGTACGTGTGGGACCAGGCTCATCTTCCTCGTCAGAGTCAGTCTCGCTCTCCTCTGAATCAGAGTCGGCTGTTGGAACAGGGTCCATCACAAGTTCTCGTACCTGATCAGCAGTGAAGAAGTCCCGTCTTCTCCTAATAGGGGCCATCCTAGCTCATCAGAATATTTGCAAAAGCAGTTTCAAAAACTCAATTTTTCTCGGAAAAATGTCAATGTAAACAATGTCTGCGAAAGCGGTGCAATGAAGTGTGATGTGTATACAATGTGAAGCACGCGTTACTATTGTGTGTGTGTGCGTACAATAGAATTAAATGCGTTCCGTGTGTATTGTGAATGAAATGTGACTTGAGTCGAAGTTGGCAGCCCGCTGTATGTTCCGCTAGCCGAACGAAGCGGGCAAAGAGTTAAGAATACTGGCCTGTCTGCTTTTCTTTTCTTGTTTTTTTATCCCTCTCACCTTATTAATCAGCCTTCCATTATTTGCATCAAGTCTCAGCAGATTATTTTCTGATGTAGCTACAAGAAGTTGCCTGGTTTTAGCAGGAGAGAAGTGAACACGGCGGGCCATGTCTAGACCAGATGTTTCCCTGTCTGCCGTTATTGATGAGATGTCAATTCTCAGCACCTTGCAGAATAAAAGAGAGATAAATGATAAAGGAAAAATTGAATGACAACAGGAGAGATGAAGTATTACTGATGGATAAAAGTATCAGAACAATCCATTAGAGAGAATTCAAAGTAACAATGCGTGTTTAGAAGCCATCACCTCCGGACCGAAGGAGGATGGAAAGAGCCTTTTTCATAATTAAATAAGGGGAAATTTGTCACGTATAATGGTTGTACATGTGCATTATCAATAGTCTTGCAATAAAGATCCATACCTTACTGGTACACTATTCCCAGTAAAGTCTGGATCACTATTCAGCAACCAGGCAACACTCTTCTAGATTGCTCTAAAATATCATACATGTAAATGGATTGAAGATAATAAGAACATCTTATGAAAACACTAAGAAGTCTCTTTTATCATCTCCTTAATAAGGACTAAACCCTAACCTCATCCAGAGTTCTTGCATCAGCCACAGTCACTGTGAACTCCGAAGGTCCAACAAAGGCTAGCCTTCTTCCATCGGGACTAAGGGACAGAGCACTCGGACAGTACACGTCGCCCTTGGCAACCATATCACCCAGAACCCTTATGGTGTTGTAGCTGTCGTCTGATACGTCATAGAGGGCTAACATGCCAAGCGAGGAGGCCGAGTAGAGGTGCCGATCATCCCGGGAGTACAGTAACCCAGTGACCTTTCCCTTGAGGTCACTGCAGGTGAAGGTCAAAGGTTATGAGGTCATATTAGTGGTGTGATGAAACAATGAATGAACAAATTTTTCTGGTCAGAAAATGGCATCATGAGATCGATGTGGAGAATGGATCATTCTTGATGAGGTTTGAAATTTGCAGATTTCCATGTTCACATGCAAAAATGTTTAATGAATGACCAAGTTCTTTTGCTCAAATAAGAAGTTAAAGCTCAGTCCACAAAATATAGACATTTTTATACAAGTTTTCTTGATATACCTTCAACGGAAATCTCACCAATACAAGATGTCGATTTTCTGAAGGTTCATCCTCACCTGGATACATGTATAAATCACCATTACAGCAATAATACTGACCCTTATAATACTTACAGTCTACCCCATTATCAACATATTTTAAATATGAATTGAACATTTCTTTGAACCTGGTTATACAACACACACTCCCTACAACGAATCCCTGACTTTAACCCTTGACACAACACTTAACCCTAATCCTAAACCATATCCTTGAAATGCACTGTCTGTGCGCTGATAACAGCTGCCGGAGCTAAAGCAAGGGTAATAACTTCCAAAGGTCTCTGGAAGTGCATAGAGATGTCATTTCATAACGTATTATGCGCTATACAAGAACTGAATATTATCATTATTACAGTACCCAAACACCAAATCACAACCTTAACCCAAACCCTATGTCCGGGTGCAACCGGGTGACCCCTGACCTACCTTAGCTCAGCCACCAGACTTGTGGATGCGATGCTGAAGATGCGGACCAAACCATTGTCAAATCCGCAGGCAATGCAGTAGAGGGACGGATGGTAGGCGATGGTGCAGGGCGTCTCCTTAGGCGCATGGAAGTCATACAGCTGAGAAACAATGGGAATATTGAGTATACAGTTAAAATATACAGTGATCACCTGTATAGAAAGACCACAAATATTGTTTCTGTTGAGAAAAAAGTTCATAAAAACCTGTATCAAAGGAACCGGGACATAATGACTCTTTTGTCTCACTTAAACAGTCTTTAATTACAGGTTTCACTGTAATAATATTCTGTTCTTTTCTATACTGAACGATACTGAATATGACACAGTCATAAACGGGTTTACATGTATGAGGATGGATCAATCCTCAGAATCAAGCAAAGAACAGGGAGGTCCTTTCAAATGGTATTTATTGAATTTAAAATTGAATTTATTGCAAAAATTTCACATGGCGGCCCAAGGGGTTGAACTACATGGAATTTACAAAGTAAAATTAACAAAAATCTGAAATTGCTAACAAATCTATTCAATCTTTTCAAGACTACACCAACAGTCCTTTTCAGGACTACACACCCTCAAGAAAGATTACCAAGAGTCCTTTTCAGGACTCCTCAATCCTCCCTCTCTTCCACATGGTGCACCCACAAGCCTACTGTTAAATCTATTCAAATATCATAGTCATACAATAATATGAACTTATGAAGGAGAGAAACAAAGTGAATTGAATTAAAATTCAAACTAAATCTAAATACATCACATGAAATGAAATAAAAAGAACTGTGAACTTGACCGAAATGAATTAAACAGAGTCGTGGGATGGCTTGGACCTCGATCCTTGATCTAACTAACCTGTTGCAGTGTGTCCAGATCCCAGATTCTGATGGTATGGTCATCGGACACTGTAGCCATCTGCCTCCGGAGGGGATCCAGGGCCACCGCCAGGACGCTGGACACATGGGACCTCATCAGGGTAGTGTACTTGCGGGAGGAGACGTCCAGCACCCCAAAGTTACCGGTGACGGTGCCGGCCAGGATGCGCAGACCATCGGGAGATATAGAGACTGCTGTGACCGGACCCTCATGTTCTAAAGATGCATCATATTGAAAGTACATAAATATGCATACAAGTATTAATCTGGGTTTTACATGTATATTCATTAATGTGTTTAAATGTATCTTGAAATAAGATTGAAGTGCACAGTGCACTATGTACTCTACACTGTAGATACCACACTGTATAGGTAAGTACTTATCGTGATATGTAATTTGTTCCTGGAAAATCAATCAAATTACACAAATATACAAATGAAAAGTAAAATAAGTCAATTTACTATAAAAGCTACTTGTTTTTCTTTCAGTAGACAAGGCTGCCATTGCTTTGGGGTTAGGCTTGTACACTTCTCGTAATCGGCAACAGGAAGGAATTCTCATGAGATTTGAACCCTGTTGGTATTACCTGCTTCCATGAAGACACTCTTGAAGTCCAGAGGCCAGATTCGCAAGACCCCATCCTCTGATCCGGTCACACAGAAGGCACTGTTCACAGACAGAGCATTGATTGCTATACCCGCACCTACAATGAGAGAAAGAGAGGGAGAGAGAGGGGGGGGGGGGGGGGGGGGGGGGGAGGGAGAAAGAGAGAGAGAGAGGTGGGAGGGAGTTAGGAAGAGAGAGGGAGGGAGGGAGGGAGGGAAGGTGTGGGAGGGAGAGAGGGAGAGAGAGAGAGAGAGAGAGGGGGGGGAGAGAGAGAGAGAGGATTTCATAAGTTAATTTTCATTTCTTTAAACAAACAGATTCCATTATCTCACTAAAATTATTTGAAATAATATAAAAAATATTGAATTTGAAAAAAACTGCACAAAAATTATTAATAATGAGAAAGGGCAAATTAAGTTCAACAAACTTTAAATAGATAAATAAACAAAACAATAAATGGCTGAATAATTTAAAAAAAATATACATATCAGGGCCCCGTCTTATAAAGAGTTGTGATTGATCTGAATCAAACGCAAGTTTGCAATCTCCTATCTCTTATGAACATATTTGCGATTGACTTCAATCGCAAATAAGTTGTGATTAATATCAACTCTTTATTACAAGGAGCCCAGATTTTTCTCTTCTTCCAAGCAAGTTACATTCTCACCTGAGCGGAAAGTTCCCTTCTCCTTGACATGCTTGCCCACCGGGAGTAACCGTCTGATGTGAGCTACACATACCCTAGCATAGTCTACCTCAAATATATGCCCAGACCTTGTGCATGCATACCTAAAGAAGAATAGATGTTTTTTGTGATAGATACAATGAAGAGAAGATTGAATATATATTATAAGACCAACACCATATAAAGTTAAAAAATAAAATCACTCATTGAAATGGAGTAATTGTAATCAATGAGTGATTTTATTGATCTCAATTGATTTATTATGACATTTACAATGTTTTTCCAATTTTGAAAGATATAGAGTGACTCAAAGTTGGATTGGAGACTAACCAAGTTTATGATAATATGTCTGTGGATGTCATATTGCAGTGTCCATCAAGTAAAAATGGACTTTCAGTTCCAGTACTTGCATGATTTTGTCTGCGGGCTTTATGAAAGTTTTTGAGGGAAGGTCTAATGACATTTTTTTCTCAAAACAATTTCACCTTTGACAATTTGCTTATAATTTCAATGGACGAAGAGGCCAGGAAAAAAGCCATTCCAGAGCTTGAATCAGACAAAGCAATGCTATGTTAATTTATGTTCACAATTCTATAAGACAATTCTCGCTACCCCAAATAGCGATTCTGCCGAGATCCGGGGAAAATCCTGAAAACGCGCATTGCATTATGGGATAGCTTTTCGACATTACAGCTTCCTGTGCAGGCGTTCGTGATCACAACCCTCTCTTTCACGGTAGAGTTTAACGGCCTTTTGTGCTAAAGTCACTAATTCTGCCCGAAGCTTTCCATTGCATATTATAATTTGTACAAATTACACTGATTGGCATCGATTTTAGCGTGCGTGAAAACTCTGCACAGCGAACACAGGCGCTAGCGCCAGTGGGATGGGACTCTATACCGGAAGTTGTAGTGACGACCCGAGAGAGTGAAAATTACCTCGTCTCGCGAATTTCGAGATTTTCGTACCTATTTAGGGTAGCGAGAATTCAAACAATTTTTGGTAAAATACAGGACATTACCGGGTATTTATCTATTTATTGCAACCGAAAGCTTGGATTTCAGAAACAAATTAAAAACATAAAGGTAATACATAGCAATCAGACAATATAAAAAAAAATTGTTTACAATGAAGTCATATAGAGTACACAAAGTTAGTGGTACATGAATAAATGTTGTGGCTACAATCAAATCATTACACAGTATCAAATAAATTTTATGCTAAAACTAGATATCATACATACTTGCAAACCTGTCACATCAAAAGTCAGGAATCTCTCAAGGCAAAATTAGGAATACAGTCTATTTTGTATACTTTTCACACAAAATATTTCAGAAAGAGAGGAATCTACGGTTCAAAACAGTAGCTTGAAAATATGAATCATTCCTCAAAAATAGAAATGGTTGGCAGATATGACAATATTGCACAAAACACATACCTTGGACTAACCAAAGAGACATTACTGTGGCAAAAAGACATTTATGGTCAAAAGCTACACTTCTTGTCAACTAAACTCACACAAGTTTGTCTGCTGGCTCCATCCCAGGTGTAGAGGGCGCTTCAAAGCAGACGTCTGTAAACTCAGCGACCGTCACCTGTCCCAGATTGACAGGAGCAGAGCGTAGGTTGCCGTTCCTCACTCGCCAAACCCTCACATTATCCCTACCGCAGGATACCATCCTTAGAGACAGAGAAAATCATAAACATCTGGGACAAGTTTCACAAAGCCTTTTTTAAATTACAAATTACAAAAATCAGTGACAAATCTGCTGATAACCAATCAGAAGCAAGGATTTCAGTAGCTTATAACAAAAACTGTCATTTGTCACTGATGACAAGTTTTGTAAAATGCCCCCCCCCCGAATCGTTAGAAAGATAAGGGCTTGATAATACAGTCAAACCTGCTTGAACGACCACCTGTATAGAGTTGACCTCTGTGACCCTTGACCTTTGACCTACGTGCTCCAAAATCTAATCAGATTGTCTTCCTATGGTGATACACACTATCATTAAGTTTGAAGATTAAATCTCCAGTGGTTCTTGAGATATTATGATAACAATCTCAATGTATGGAATTTCATAAGTTGACCTCTGTGACCCTTGACCTTTGACCTACGTGCTCCAAAATCTAATCAGATCGTCTTCCTATGGTGATACATACTATCCTTAAGTTTGAAGTTTTTACATCTCCAGTGGTTCTTGAGATATCATGATAACAATCTCAATGTATGGAATTTCATAAGTTGACCTCTATGACCCTTGACCTTTGACCTACGTGCTCCAAAATGTAATCAGATTGTTTTCCTATAGTGATACACACTATCACTAAGTTTGAAGTTTAAATCTCCAGTGGTTCTTGAGATATCATGATAACAATCTCAATGTATGGAATTTCATAATTTGACCTCTGTGACCCTTGACCTTTGACATACGTGCTCCAAAATCTAATCAGATCGTCTTCCTATGGTGATACATACTATCCTTAAGTTTGAAGTTTAAATCTCAAATGGTTCTTGAGATATCGCACTAACAAACTCAATACAAGGAATTTCATAAGTTGACCTCTGTGACCTGTGACCTTTGACCTACGTACTCTAAAATCTAATCAGATCGTCTTCCTATGGTGATAAATACTATTCCCGAGTCTTAAGTTTAAATCTTAAATGGTTCTTGAGATATTGTGATAACGGTCAAACGGGACGGATGTACGGACGGACGTACGGACGGACGTACGGACGGACAACCCGAAAAAATGATGCCTCCGGCACCACCTTCGGTGGCGGAGGCATAAAAAAGGTAATATTAATTACCTGTACATTGCATACTAGAATAGGAAAAATACCCCCAAAACAACGTTAACCATCACAACTCACAACCAATCTGAACAGCAAATTGCAGACATATTTAAATGTACTCTTGAAGAAAATATTGAATTCAAGTTCAATAACTACGGTCTTGACAGAACTCACTTTGTGTCATCGTACGGTGAGACTCTCATGCGCACGATATCTACATCAGTGTGAGCCTTAGCAACCACAGGCACGTCCCCTCGCCTGTGAACTCTGGAGGTGTTCCACACGACAACCATCTGAAAGCATGGGGCGAGAAATAAAGAAATCCCTCTGGTGTAAAACACTGACGTCACTTTGAAGTGAATGTTCAGTAAAACTTGATGCGTAAAACTTGTTATTCATAACAACTGCAGCAAGTCTAGTAACAAATATGCTCACAGCCAATCAAATGCAATGATTTCAGTAGCTTATAATATCAACAATTGTATTGCTATTGACAACAATATTTATGATTTTTTTTTTACACTGCTTCAATTGAACATCAAAATGGTTGGAAAATATAATGCATTTAAAAAAAGGTAGGCATAAAAATATGTGAAGTGAAAGAGAGGGGCAAAAAGACCACAAAGGGCTGGAAAAGGAGTGAGGAAACACATATGAAGTAAGAGAGTGAGAGGACTCAAGAGGAAAGGAACAGAGAAGGAGAAAATAAGACAGTAAATTAAGAGAGAAACCCACAAATTTATTCTTTTCATTTAGCAACAAACTCAGAGATAGGAGAAAGAATATCAGATAATTCTTGATGACATCGTTCAGTACAACTTACATTTTTTCCATGTCCGTCCTTCCCAACTCCACAAAGAGTGGATCCGTTACCTGAAAAGCTACAAGGGGGAGAGAGAGAGAGAGAGAGAGAGAGAGAGAGAGAGAGAAAGGGATGGATAGAAGAAAACTTAGACCTTTATTTAATGTATATTTCATATCATTACAACCGCTACACAAGTTCCTTTTTAGTTTGTTTATTCTTTATTTTTTAAATAATCTATCTTTACATCACTTAGCTTAGCATTACTTACCAAATACATGAGGAATTAATATCTGATTGAAGGTCATATATATATTTATCATATATGAAATATAATCAGAACACTTAAATAAACAAAACAACTAAATTAAACTTTTACAATATGATTTCCTTATCCAACTACGCTTTGTCTCACTAAAATTTTGGGGTCAGGTTTAAGAAATGACCCCTTAGCAATTGTTCCTGGAGCATGTGCCAGACAACTTCTACAGTATACGAACCTGAGGGTGAAGACAGAGTGTGTATGTGCCTTGAACATGGCTAGCCCCTCACCAGACTGATAGTGCCACACCCTTACCACGGCCTGCTGCCCTGTCTGGGCTGATGCTAGGAGTGTTCCACTGCTACTCAATGTCAGACATGAGACCTGATGTGAACAGAACCATAGAAACCAGGATTAGAATATAGAAACATTTCCACAAGTAAATTGGGGAAGTCATTTTATTTTTCACCTATGCAATAATAGCAAAATTAGATAAGATGACATAAAGGTTTTAACATCTTAAATTTCCGGTGCAAGAATTGAAAACACCTTTTTTCATTAAAGAAAAAAAGAAGCCAAAAACATAAACTAATAGACACACACACACACATAACAAAAAATCACTTTAAAATATTTTCTTGTTAAGTTTTTCCCTTTTTGAGTTTTGATCTTTAGAAGGAAAATACAACTGCGGTGCTTGATCATACAGCCAGTGACTTTTGCAGTGGTCAATGTGTTACCAGTCCACAAATATGAATGGTCTACTACTCTACTCACACTGCAGAAAGAGGACTATGGTATTGCAACACTGCGCCATCGTAAAATAAGAAATAAAATACCTCAGTCGCATACCTTATCTGTATGTCCGATGAAGAATCTCTGTTGACCGCTGCTGACAGCCATGGCTACTATGACGGCATGGCAGGGATAAACAACATGGTTTCCATGGTGATCCCACAGGATCTCATTCGTGGATACTCCACCGAAACCAATCATCTTCTTCAATGAGATGATGGGATCAGGTTGCAGGCTCTGTAAAATTACAAGGGCACGATGCTGAAAACAATTAGCTTGAGAGAGAAAGAGATGAGCATGGAAATTCAACTACAAGAATGACTGCATTTTCCCAGTAATTCCTGTGATAATAAAGGTTACAAAATTAGTACAGTGAAAATGAATGTCTGGTTTTATAACGGTTACATCTAGGTACACATATCTTCCAATGTATAACATGCTCAAAATCTAGAATAAAAGAAACAAAATTTACAAAAAGAAAGAAGAAATAATTTAAAAGAATTGCAAATATATATTTTGATTTCACGTTATATTTCTGTTCATTGCCTGTACAATGTCATACTTTCTTTCTCATAAAAAAGGAGATGTGAGCTTTTATTTGAGATTTATTATCTTTTTCAGGTATCCAGTAACAGTTCCAAATTAATTGAATATTAAGGTGCCCTAGAATTCAACCCATGGATGTATAGGTTGACATCATTGTTTTTTTACAATACTGTGTAGGAAAAGAATACAACAGGACCCTTACATTGTATATCTCATCTCTGGTGGGCTTTGTAGAGCGCTTCGATATTTTAGTCGATAGTGTCTGAAATGTGAAGAAAAGTTAAAATCTTATCTGTTACAAGAGTATAGTAGAACAAATGACACTGAGCAGGATATAATAATTTAAATGGCGATGGTAAGCTGAATAGAATAGATCAATAATTCTAATCCTGATTGGTAGCTGTTTGAAAACTTGCCAAAAAATGATTATGCACAATTTAGATGCTGAAGGATATCATGTAATTTCTGCTTTATCTGAACAACATAATAGAAAGGGGAAAAAATGAAATATGGTGTATTTACACAAATTATACAAATAATCATAATAAAATATACATTATTTAAGGGAAATAAAAACAAATTCACATACCAATAACTGAAAGTGAATGTTATAGAAAGGCCTAAGAGTCATAGCTTAGCTCCTAAAACACAGCATGAAAACAAGAAAATGAATTGACTGCTTGCAACCATGCTAGTCCCTTCAGTGGTCTTACCATTCCAGTGTTATCATCATGCCTGTGGACTGTTATATCATCTTCAGGCTGGGCAAACACATGCACCTCCCCTTGAGTGCCTTGGAGAATTGATAGGTCACCACTCACACCCACTTCAGGTAGGGCCATGCTCACAGCTGGTTTGGTAGATTTTTTCTTCTTCTGACATGGAACAAAAAATTGTAAAAACAAAACACAATATCACCACTGGATCACCTTTTCAGACTGAACATTGCATATACATGTAGGCAACGTTATGTCGAGAATGTTCCGTATAATTGAATGTAAATGTAAGTTTCACATTTTGACGTTGTGAATGTTGAAATGTTGAAAGTTCAAATCTTTAACAATTGGGTTGAGAAGAAAGTAAGGTTAAACATCTCTGAAAGTTTAGAGAAAATCAGTACCAGGGGTAATAAAATTTAATGTTTATTTTCAATAAGAATGATACAGAGCTGCCAACATTTGATTTGGGTAATCAGGGAGATTTCTGAGAGAGCAGCATCGAACGACTTCATTGTTGGCGGGAACCAAGAATGGCCTTTTAGTGCCCCTGGTGGGGGGGGGGGGGCAGGGGGCAGGCCCCCAAAAGCTCTTGGTTTTAAGCCTCTTTGAAACCCTTTTAGAACACATTTTTTCAATGATTTCTCAAAATGGAAGGCTTTGATATGGCACATTTTATTTGCATACAATTGATAACATATGAACTTCACATCATATTTCAGACTATGAACTCCTGTTACCTCTATTGTGAAATGGGGGATGTACTTGTGGAAGGCAAGGACTGGGGTGTGCTTGAGGGTTTTCCTTGAAGTGACTGGTAGGTTGCTTGCTTGAGTTTGCTAAGGAGGTCCTTGCTATACTCCCTTTGGTAGCATGGGACATCTGTGTTGGCAATTTTCTCTGTTAGGAGTGCTTGAAGTGTTTTCAAATTCATTGATCCCCTGAAATCAGTTTTGTTCTTCCTAACAATGCTAAAAACTCTTTCACATGAAGCATTGGAATGTGGTATCACAAGCAAAGATTTCATCACTTTGCTCAGAAGTGTGTATTTCTTTGAGCCATTGCCATCCTCCATCTTTGAAATTGCAGACCATTTCTTGTCTATTCTCAAGTTTTTGTTCAGGATCTCTGGTTCCCCTGAAAAGTCTTCAACCTGGTATTGTGCAAATTCCAGCTCAAGCTTGTCCAGGTCTCCATTCTCTGATTGTCTGTTCAAAATGCAAGGGTACTTTTCAACAAAGTATTGCACAGATGAAAATGACACATCTCTTCTGGAACTGACATCAATCACTTCAGCCTCCTTAAGGAACTTAACATCTAGTGGCCAGGTTTTCAAGGCATAGTCACATGCTGATTCATAATACTTCCTCACCGACAAGTAGAAGTATGTCAAATCAGCATCTGTAAGACGAAGGGGAGAATCATCTTCTGGGCTTGTTGTACTCTCCAGGTATTCCTTGGCATCTTTTCCAATCATTAATCATCAATATTTCGACTTCGACATTGTCCTGGATGATATTTTAATACTCAAACAGAGAGCAAAATACAGCCTTGTTTTGGACAAAGTTGACTTACGCCTTCGGAAGATGCAAGTTATATCGATGCGTTCCCAACGGCAAAGGAGATCAGAAAAAAAAAGTCGGCTTCAAAATCCACTCTGCAGTAACACTGCCATGTTGGTATCAAATGATAATCCACTTAAAAATCACATCGCAAAAGTCCCCAAATCAATCCAAAAACTGATGTTGAAATGTGCAGTTTTTTGGGCCGATCGCAGCAGACAAAGTCTGCTTGTTGTATCAGTGCAACTTCTGGCTGCTCTGACGCGACCGATCGGAAACCGGCACCAACGTACCGGGACGCTACGGGGGCCGGCGAGGAAGCCGCCCGGCAGAGCAAGCAGGCGAATTGCTATCACACAAACACCACTCACATTATCACATGTTCCCAATGGTTTGTTAGATTAGCCCGCCAGTCGTTCGGCGTAACTCTCATTTATTACGCTGTAAAATAAAGTACGATATCACGGTAAATTTATATTCGACGACTGGATAACAGGAAAATTCATATTACAGAATTGCCGTGTGTTTGTATACGTACGTACGAACTCAACATGCTAGTCTTGTGAAACAGTCGTTTATGAAAATAATACAACTTAAAATCTGGAAATCCGGGAGATTTTTGCATGGGGTCGGGAAAACGGGATATTGGGTCAAAATCCGGGAGTCTCCCGCAGGATCCGGGAGACTTGGCAGCTCTGATGATAGCAGTATAAACTGCATAATAAATACCCCTTGAGTCATACCATAGGAGTAATCAAAAAAGAATTTCACACCAATGTTGCCAACCATCTTGCTTCATATTACATATTTACTGACTTGTGTTTTGACAAAGGTAACTTTAGTAATGGAGTCCCTTTGATAGCTATGTACAAAAGTTATATGAGGAATCAAAAGGAATACATTTTAATTTATGCAAGATAAAACAAACTACATGTGGCTCTCTATGGAATTAATAGCTTTAAAGGCATTGTTTAAGAATGTTAAATCTCAGATGCATGGCCCTACGTGTTATCAGTGTCGGTGATATGATGTAATAAAACAAAATTAAAAATTGCGCTTCAAAATGATCATGAAGTGCCTCAAAAAAATTAAAAAAAACCTTTGAGTGACCTTTTTTTTTACCATACTCATTACCCCTAATAGACTGTAGTGTTATAAAAACCGTTAGGAAAAAGAATTTTAAAATTTCAATTTCCAATCATAAATATCTTGATAATCAGACAGGCCATCGGCTTGTGAAAGTCATAGGTCTGACCTAAAGGTTTATAATTATCATTGGACCATGAGCTTAATCCAGGATTTTGTTTTAGAATCTGAGACAAAGATACCCAATCCCTTTAAACATTCATAGAAATGTAGATGAAGCAAAAAACTACCTGTTTAACAGCACTGACAGATTGTGACATTGATGATAGAGAGTCTGCATCTCGATTAGCCTAAAATAAATAGAGAAAAGCGGGAAAATTCATAAAAATTACTTGTCCAGACTCTATTAATCCTTCCCATGCTCTTTCAGAGTAAACATTTCTATCCTGTCAATTGGTGACTACGTTTAAATTCAAAACATTAACAGAACAGATTCAGAAACATGGTGTTGGTTAAATGTTTTTCACCAATTTCATAATGGCCTGTTCCCTGTAAACTTAGAGAAATTACATTTGCTTGCAGTCGGGTAATGAATGTATTGTCCAAGATCATTGAGCAAATGACTGTGTTTGTATTTACCAAAATAATAGCTTTTGACCATGTTGTGGTATATCACTACAACTAACTTGACTTTTGATTGAAGATCGAGGGTTCCAATCCCTCCCTAACACTTGCGTCATTCGTCAAGAAATTTTACATTTGCTACTACCCACCAAGGTTTAAATGGGTACCTGGTATGCACACTACATATGGGATCACTCAAACAAATCAGGATAATAATCACCTGTAATTATCATCATCATCATAATTCACAATCAAGTTAAAATACCACTGCTAGACATTTTTGGTCAGACTTTGGCAATTATTTCAGAAAAACTTACGCAGACTTGTTTTGACGATACTCTCTGGGGGCTCAGGTGACCCGGTACCTGAATGGTTGATCTCGTCACATGACCAGAGCTATTGAGCTGTACTGAGTCAAAGGGAACCTTAGAACCGGCTGAAGGAAACCTGAATGATCATAAGGAGAGAGTAATGGCTCATTAACATATGACGTGGTTAAATGTGGCAGTTTACCAAAAGTTTTTAAAACATAAATGGCAGGTCGGGATAAACAAGCAGTAGCTGTGCACTCCAAAGGTCATATAGATGTACCTACCTACATTCTTGGTGTATAAGATGTGAATCATATTACATGCTTACATGATTATGCAAACAAAAAATAATATTAAAAACAGATGTCCTAAAACGCAACATACATGTACTATTGTACCATTTGCTATTCAAGAAAGCATAAATGAATTTGCTGGATTTAAGAAATCTTTTTGTTAAAACTGAACAAGTAATTTCATTTTTAAATATAGATTACATATAGCATTGTGCAAATACTCTCCATGTGACATGGCTCCTAGTTTTTCACAAATTTTTTTTTCTTTTTCTTCCCCCTGATTTTTCCCTGAAGGTGTTTAAAAATCCAGGTTGATTGAAGATCCACTGGATATGTTGGTTGTTTGGATATGAGAAAAATGTTATAAAACTGAGTACTTTCATTGTGGAGCCAACAAATTCCCTGATTTATCACCATTGTTTTCTTTTTAAATTCCCTAAACTTTCCCTCACAGGCAAATGATTGGAAGGGAACTCAATTTCCAGGTTTTCCTTCATTTTAATGATAGCTGTGAATCCTGCAAACCCTGGGCAACATTAATCCATCTTTTACCTGATGTAATCATAGTGGTCCATCCACTTCTCCCCCTTGGGAACCTTGAAGGTCATCTCCCGTGGCAACGGGGCGATGCCCTGCCCCAGGAGGCCCATGTCACGGGCGTCCTGCAGCGAGATGTCCGGCTCGTACTGCATGTCGCTGGTGAAGACGTTCTTGACGTACATGTTGGCGCAGAGGCGGACGCTCTTGACGTACTTGTACTTGCAGTTGAGGTACATGGAGAGGATGTACTGGAGGTCAAGCATGAGGAGGGTCCACTTAGAGCTGGAAGGGGCGGGGCCATGAAGGTCTGGAAGCCGAGGAATAACGAGAAGCAAGAGCAGGTGAATGACATTGACTAAAAAAATTAATTGATAAACTAAAAGCACATGTATAATATCCTAGATTTCAAAATTCAAGAATGTTTTCATCTTCCCCTTTGAGGTCCTGAATGGTCATCTAGGCAGAAATATTGAAACTGCTGGGTATTTTAAGCCTTAATTCCTGTCAGAGAGAGAGATATAGGGGAAAAAATCTGATCGGGTACAAGATGACCACATGTCTAGAAGGTTTATTCTGACTCTCTAAAAACTAGATCAATGTGTTCTGAATAGCAACCTGTCCATATTCCTTCATTTAGATACTGCAACCTGAAATATATACACCAACAAAAAGTCAGAGGACTACAATTAAAGCCAATGACCTGTTCTGTCATTTTTTCTAGTACTATGCTCACTGTGCAATTTCACCACTGATACATTGATATCTCCCATTCTAGAGCTTCAACATACTGTTTTCTATTATACTGGACAAAGAACTGAAAGTTGTAACACAAGAATGGTCATGACCGCATGACATATGCTGAGGCGTATTGCTCCAAGGTCAATATCCTACACTGGCCCCACTGGCCCATTCTTAACTTAAACCCTTGTCCCAAAAATACCTAAGCTCAACCTTAAACTTATACACAACCTAAAACCCAATTGCAACCCTGATCTTACCCGCATTTCTTGGCCAATATAAAACCTGAGAATTGTCAGTGGAGCAAATGTCGGATCCCAAATGATTGACTTTGTTCTTGAAAGCATTTTAACCTGATGACTACTGAGTTCTCTCATTCCCATAGGCTTAATACAGAGGCCATTTGATTTCCATAGGTAATGGGGTAAAACATACAAACATACAGCAATTAGCTTTTTTTTTAAAAGAGCTTGAGGGAAATGATCATACCTTTCCGGACTGATTTTGAGGTGATCCTCTCAACGGAACCTTTCCCGGCGGGGCAGACGAAGGGGAACTGGAGCCAGGTGGAGGTGGACTTAAACTCCTTGAAGAGGTTGGAGAAGGAGAGGCGTACAACCAAGCCATCTTGGGTTGTCACATCAACGTGAGTCACAAAGTACTGTGGAGGGCATTGGAGGGAGAGATGGAGGGATGAGGATTTAAGAGATGTGGAGAGATGGAAGGGGGAAGATGAGAGAGGGACAAAGAACATAACAAAAAAGCAAAGGAAAGTGTCAAGAAATGGGTAGGAAAGAAGGAGATGGAAGATGCAAAAAGTAGGAGAGGGTTGTTATAATGAAATGGAAAAAAAGAAAAAAAAAAGAAAAGACAAATTGTATAAAATATAGAGTCAGAAGGAAAGACATATATGCAAGAGACCAATGAGTCGGGGTACATTGTACATTGGGTTAATTTCTTTTAATGGTTCTGCACATCTTTTTATTTCAGGGGCTTTATGGAGGCCCATCAAGGATCTTCCAGCATTATCCATGTCTTTTGAACAGAGCCCTCTTCATTCCAAATTAAGTGTGTATGTGTAGCACATGTAGCTGCAGAAAATAAGGAGAGCATCCAGCCTCATTTTGTAACCTGTTCAAAAAATACTTATAATGATAACATTTGTTTGTAAAAATTTTCCCAGGAAATGATATGAATATATAAACTAAGTTATAGTATTCTGTATTGAGGCTGTGCATAACAGTGCTTTTGTTGTTGAATTTTTGTGGATTTTTTTTGCCACCACCATACTACGGGAGAAGTATCCCAAGTCCGTCCCCGAAAACTCAAACGATTTTACTTCGAGTCGCAGTTAAAGGCGCCGATTTAATAATAATAATAATAGTAAACGATGCTGTTTTTAAAACCAAAGATGAGTCCAAACAGAAATCCAGACATTTGGTCCCAGTTTCTGGGTGGTGAGTTGACAGTGATTGAGCTGGGACACATTTTTACCCGCGGTACCATGCCGGCGATGCCTCCCGGGCACGGGTAAGCGTCGGCCGAATATTCGTGCGAGTGCTCAAGTTTTCGACTACTTGTCGCAGCCTTATTCTGTATGGTGCATATCATAGTATCCCTACATGTATGTGCTTCCACAGAGCTTTGGAAATTACCACCATTGCTTTAGCTCCAATGACCATTTTATCCAGCACAAATAGGGCAAATCAAGGAATATTCTTGCCACCTTTCCACTTATCACACCTGGGTCAAATATGACAAATATAGATTAGCTCTAAATGAGCCAGGTAATTTTGGTGCTATCTCAGCCAGAGGGGGTGGATCACCCCCCCTCCCCCTCCCCCCCCCCAAGCTTTTAGGGACAATGTCTTGGCAAAGGATGTTAGTAAAGTGGCTGGGGCTTGAACTTGGTACCTTGCAATATATACATGTACGTTGCTTACCTTGCCAGCGATTGGTTTGAAGAGGAGGTAGAGGAATCTCCCAGTCAGACCTAGTGACTGTGAGGATGTTCTTGGTAGCTGGATGTAATTCCCCGCTGGTATGGACCCAGTGATTCTATACACTGTGCACTTCATGCTCTTGTCCTGATCAAAACAATTAAATAACACAATTCGATAAAATAGGGTATCTGTTAAATAGCATACTATTGGCTAAGAAGTTATCATATGACACTATTAAAGCAATTTGTTATACGGTCATTTTCTTCTTCTTCTTCTCCTTCTCCTCCTCCCCCCCCCCATCCTTCTTCTTCTCCTCCTCCTCCTTCTCTTCCTCCTCCTTCCTCTTCACCTTCTTCTTCTTCACCTCCTCTTTTTACTCCTTCCTCTTAAATAGCAGAGAAATCATTTTCTATTCACTTGTCTTGTCTCCAGATCTGTTTGATCACTGACTTGATACAAGTCCTTTCTTACCATGACGGACATCACTTCCCCCTCCTTGGTAGACTTTCTCCATTCTCCGATGTTGAGATGCTTGAAGACGTTCACATATGGATGCTGCCATAGAGATGCTGATGACAAAAAGATTGAATATTTTATTAAAACCTAGTCTAGGCCGATTCATATAATTTGAAGGTCCTTTGATCTATCAGGCTTTCTGTGCCATAGGCGACAAATGCTGCCCAAGAATTTTGATTTAATGATGTGATAGTTTAGTTTACACATGCTGTCTGTATCACAAATTTTGATTGAAGTTTATGAACAACATATGATGAAGTGAACATGGTGAAAGTCAGACTTAGAAGTTAGTTTGTGAACTGTAATTTATAGACTATTAGTAGGCTAGGTCTACAGGTCTAGTTCTTGACTCTTAGAGTCTATATATAAATTGTGTCAGCGATTTTTCAATCAATTTCATGTTTAAAGACAAAAAAAGTGTACTGTTAGTAAAACTAATGGCGCGAATTCAGAAGTCTATCCAAAATTTGACCCGTAACTCCGGCGTGGAGATACCCTACTAAAACATACCCAAAATAAAATTAGAATGTGTGAAGTTACACGTATCTACCGTAATGAGGATCTGCGAAATTACGGTAGATAACTTCACACAGGCGCGCGCCCGCCCGCAACCCACCATCGGTATGCACTTGTATTGTGCAGCGGTTTGTAATGAAACCTGAGAAAGAGTTATACTAATATCATCGTTTTTCCGAAAAATACTCCAAAAATAACAAGAAAATTGACACGAAACAGGTAATAGGGTCTACACATAAAAAGACTTTTAACTCATGATCTTTATTTGGACATTTAATGAATATTTACTTCATTTTTTGTATTTTTTAGTCGGGTATCTCCACGCCGGAGTTACAGGTCAAATTTTGGATAGGTTTCCGAACAAGTGCCGCTAGGGCTAGGCCTAGATTGGCTAGAAGGCTAGATCTAGGCTTTATTTGGACATTTGATGAATAGGGTAGCGCGCCCAGTATTCGGTCAGACAGCCGTTTCAACAGCTGTAACAATTTAGAAAATTATTTATGAGCCATGAAACTTGCACAGATCAGGCAGCTGAATAACTTTTCTTAACTCTCAAAATCAAATCAGATTTAGGGCCCCGGAAAGATCTCCAACTTAGCTCGAAATTGGTCAGTGTCGCACAACTTTTTGCACTTCCGCGTTCTCTTAGCACATGCGCTAACATGCATTGCATAGCCATAAGTAGACGTCTATTGCGAAACAACTATGTGTGCTGTCGCAATGAATTAAGTATGTGTGTGAAGAGAATCACTTCCGTGTTCACTCCATCGCAGTGAATTTGCAAATGACGCACTTGCCGATGTGCAAGAGGTATTTATACTATACCGATTATGAAGGAAAAACTGTGATAACGCCATTACGAACGTGTAGATGGCGCACAGTTTTTCCTTCATAATCATTTTGCCTTCGGCGTAGACTAGAAGGGATGAGATTGATTTAGATGACTCCGGCAGCGAGAGTTTAACACGGCTTGCAAGATTTTCATCATGGATATCGATTTTGACCCATAATTTCCTAAAAATGGACCATTAAACGGATTATTTCAGTCAAGTTGGTAAGTGGAACCGAAGTAGATCTAGACCTAGTTAAGTTTTAACCTAATTTACAATATAAAATGCATCGGATTTGCATCCTGTGAAAGGAGTAATTCGGGGATAAGTTTTGCAAGTTTGGTGTGCTGATTTGCCCACATAACCCTACACATTTCGCGGGATAGTCTGTTTCGGTCTCTAAAGAGAGAGCCGACCCTACCCCAATAAGAGGCTAACGAACGAAAGAGACGGAAAATTTGGTCTAGGCTAGCCGATTACCGGCTCCTAGACTAGTAGAGGGTACAAAAGGAACTCTTAGTCTTACCCTAGCGCCAAACTAATAATGCTTTCTAAGAAGTAATCGTAAAGAGGTCGGTATTGTTATTATTAAGTAGGCCTAGACCTAGACCCTAGGCCTAGTATTAATTATTAGATTAACGGTATGCAATATGCACCAGACGGAGTCGGGCTAACTCGGCCCACGGGACTACTCGGCCCAGCTGGAAAAACTGGGCCGAGATGTCCCGACCTGATTAATCGATCGAGAGATACCAATGTGTATATGTTTGTGCTCTTTGTGACTTAATAATGCCCTTTCCAACCTAAATCTTTAATGGAATTGTGTTAAATGATACCAATGAAGACAATCTATAACTTATCTTTAGGTAAAATGACAAAAAAAATGACATTTCGGACAATTTACTCACAGCTCGCAATCCGCATGTACATTAAATGTGCGTTGTATCTACTCGGACCACTGAAATTCGAGCAGTGTTTTTGTAGGTAAATCACTGCAAAAATATCATTTTTATCTCGTATGAAGGTCTATTTTTTATTCCTGACACAGATTTCATTATTGAGAAGTCGAATATAGTACATTTTAGACGAGATGGTTGATGTTTGTTCACATTCTTTCGTCCTGGCCGTAAATTAGCAGACTACTGCCTAGTGCTACCGCAGCAGCTCAGCTCAGTGTGCAGCTAGCCGTACAGCGCCGCCGGCCGGGTCGGCGGCGGAATTCACTGACTCGTGCCTGCTGCACTGCATTGCATGATTGTACTGCCAAATTTGATCGAGTGATGTGTGAGTATAACTAATCAAACTAGATCTATATCTACTGTATTATCATTATTCATTCCGAGTAGAATATCCAATTTGATTTAGTGAGTAAACTAGACCTATATCTACTGTAGCTACATCATTATCATATAGTAGATTAGTCATTCAGAGTAGAATATTCGATTAATGAAGGAATGGAATTTTTCTTTTTCATAATCAGATAATCATATTTTACTCCTAAAAGTTAAAGACTTGATAAATAGCTAGATCTCTCGTAAGGGCCTAGCCTAGTACTGTAAGAGAAGTGAGCTGAAGAATCGCCTTCTTTTTTTTTATTTTGGAGGGGCAGGCGCGTAGCCAGGGAGGGGGGGGGGGTGGCAGTGGGGGCGGTCCCCCCCCCCCCAAAAAAAGAATAAAGGAAGAGGACGTAGGAAAAAAAAGGATTAAGAGTCGAGAACGGTACAACGAATCGTCTTCTTTCTCTAATTATTTAATGAAACATCAAAGCTTCTGCGCGGGAAGGGGGACGGAACTGAATTCAGATAAGGATAAAGAGTCGAGAACGGTACAACGAATCGGGGTCCAGACAACTCGCCACAAAGACAACCCGCCCCAAGACAACCTGCCACAATACCCTGGACATCCCGCCACAATACCCTGGACAACCCGCCACAATACCCTGGACAACTCGCCACAGCCTTTTCGGACAACTCGCCACACTTTTTCCCATCATGATTTCTAGATCTAAAATGAAATGAAATTGTAATTTTTCATGATTTTCGTGCTTTTATAAACACAGTCATTACAAAGAATAAAGTTGATTTCTCTTGTAACAATAATATATATTTAAATGAAATTGTCATTTTTCATGATTTTCGTGCTTTTAAAACACAGTCATTACAAAGAATAAAGTTGATTTCCCTTGTAACAATAATATACTTTTGATCTAGAGGTCTATAACAGCTGCATTTTTCTGTCCCAGAATTTTTTTAATGGTAGGATACTGGAAGCACTGGCGTACTGATAGGGGGGGGGGGGGGGGGGGGGGGGGGGGGGGGGGGTGGGCAGTTGACCCGCGAAATAAAATTGGAATGTGGTTTATTTCTAGATTTTCTGGGTTAGTTTTGTCAGAGGCGGCATTCTTGGTTGGGGGGGGGGGGGACACTGTGCCCCCACTTTTCCAGGTTCCCCTAAAGTGCCCCCTTATCCTTTGTACATGTCCTTTTCCCTTCTGATAATTTTTAATGGTAGGAATTCATGGAAGGATAGGCCTACTGGAAGCACTGGCGTACTGATGGGGAAGGGGGCAGTTGACCCGCGAAATAAAATTGAAATTTGGTTTATTTCTAGATTTTCTGGGTTAGTTTTGCACTTTTGCCCACAGTCAGAGGCGGCATTCTTGGTTGGGGGGGGGGGGGCACTGTGCCTCCACTTTTTCAGGTTCCCCTAAAGTGCCCCCTTATCATTTTGTACATGTCCTTTTCCCTTCTGATAAGTGCCTACTTTTCTTTCTCAGATGTTTTAATTATAATGTTACTCATAATTACATAAAAGAACTTTTCAGTCTTTCTTCATTAAATTGTCTTTAATATTCATCATGTAATTTTTCAAATGGGACCTTACACTTTTAGCTCGCTTGCTCGAAAATCGATATTCAGTCCATCACACCAAATCGCGAAGTATGTTGCTTAAACAATAATGTTGTTCCACGTAAAGAAATAAACAAATATTGATGTCATTCGTGGTAATGTATTCACAATCTTGACGAAGGCGTAGGCCTTTATACAAATATCTAAAAATGGTTTTTATTATTGTTGATGTGTCCCTTTGTAGGTGCCCCTTTTTCAGAAGTCCAGCCATTCTTGCGATCATAGGCGCCAGAAGTGAGGGCAGGGGACTCGCCCTCCTCCAAACGAAAAAGTGTGTGTGTGTGGGGGGGGGGGGTGTGGGTCAAAACGAATTTCCACTCCCCCCCCCCCCCAAAAAAAAAAAAAAAAAAAAAAAATCAGCAATAAAGCAGTATAATTGATTACTATTTAGTAACCAAAAAGAACATACAAAAATAATAAAACCTAAATTGAATCAAATTAAAATGATATTCCATTCAAAGAATTAAGTTTCATAATTAAATTTCAATTTACATGACATGGGGTGGAGATGATGAGAGGGATGGAGATGAGAGGGATGGAGATGATGAGAGGGATGGAGATGATGAGAGGGATGGAGATGATGAGAGGGGTGGAGATGATGAGAGGGATGGAGATGATGAGAGGGATGGAGACGATGTGAGAGATGGAGATGATGAGAGGGATTGGTGAGGGATGGAGATGATGAGAGGGATGGAGATAATGGGAGGGATGGAGATGATGAGAGGGATGGAGACAATGTGAGGGATGGAGATGATGAGAGGGATGGAGACGATGAGAGGGATGGAGACAATGGGAGGGATGGAGATGATGAGAGGGACTGGTGAGGGATGGAGGTGATGAGAGGGAAGGAGACAATGTTGATGATGTAAGGGATGAAGACGCTGTTGATGACAGGGATTGGTGAGGGATGGAGACGGTGTGAGGAATGAAGATGATGAGAGGGATGGAGATGATGAGAGGGATGGAGACGGTGTGAGGGATGGAGATAATGAGAGGGAAGGAGACAATGAGAGGGATGGACATGGTGAGAGGGATGGAGATGGTGAGAGGGATGGAGATGGTGAGAGGGATGGAGATGATGAGAGGGATGGAGATGGTGAGAGGGATGGAGATGATGAGAGGGATGGACATGATTAGAGGGATGGAGATGATGAGAGGGATGGAGACAATGAGAGGGATGGAGATGATGAGAGGGATGGAGATGATGAGAGGGATGGAGATGGTGAGAGGGATGGAGATGATGAGAGGGATGGAGATGGTGAGAGGGATGAAGATGGTGTGAGGGATGGAGATGATGAGAGGGATGGAGATGGTGAGAGGGATGAAGATGATGAGAGGGATGGAGATGGTGAGAGGGATGGAGATGGTGTGAGGGATGGAGATGATGAGAGGGATGGAGATGGTGAGAGGGATGGAGATGATGAGAGGGATGGACATGATTAGAGGGATGGAGATGATGAGAGGGAAAGAGACAATGTGAGGGATGGAGATGATGAGAGGGATGGAGACGATGAGAGGGATGGAGACAATGGGAGGGATGGAGATGATGAGAGGGATTGGTGAGGGATGGAGGTGATGAGAGGGAAGGAGACAATGTTGATGATGTAAGGGATGAAGACGCTGTTGATGAGAGGGAGTGGTAAGGGATTGAGACTGTGTGAGGAATGAAGATGATGAGAGGGATGGAGATGATGAGAGGGATGGAGACGGTGTGAGGGATGGAGACAGTGTGAGGGATGGAGACAGTGTGAGGGATGAAGATGGTGACATGATGGTGAGAGGGATTGAGACGATGAGAGGGATGGAGACGGGAGGGATGGAGACGTCTCCATCCCTCTAATCATCAATATCGTCTTCATCCCTTACATCATCAAAATTGTCTCCATCCCTCTCATCATCTCCAATTCTCCATCCCTCACATCGTCTCCATCCCTCTCATCATCTCCATCCCTCACATTGTCTCCATCCCTCTCATCACCTCCATCCCTCACATTGTCTCCATCCCTTTCATTATCAATATCGTCTCCATTCCTCTCATCATCTCCATCCCTCACCAATCCCTCTCATCATCTCCATCCCTTACATCATCAACATTGTCTCCATTATGTATTATGCCACATTGTGGAAATGCAATTTTATTTTTGTATTCATTATTTATTTATAGTATGTACATATTTACAGGTACACAAGATCAGATATAAATTTGTTAACCCCCAGCCCCCCCCCCCCCCAAAAAAAATTGTAACATGCAGATGACACGCCACACCATTCCTTGTGTTGTGGTATTGGTACATCATGATTATTTCATATGCAATTTACAAGGCAAAAAAAATCTAAATAATTAAAGTTAAAACAATTAAATAAAAATGAGGACATGTTTGAAAAACACACATAATAGCAATAAACATTATTTGTTTACGACTCCAAGATACAAATTCCAACAATATGACGTCAAGCTGACTCAAAATAACAATTGATAAGCAGGTGTAATCGTGTATTAATTTTATGCCACGTTGTGGTAATGCAATTTTGTTCTTTTATTTATTATTTATTTATAGTATGTACATATTTACAGGTACACAAGATCAGATATAAATCTGTTAACCCCCAGCCCCCCCCCCCCAAAAAAATTGTAACATGCAGAGACCAGTACAGATGACACGCCACACCATTCCTTGTGTTGTGGTATTGGTACATATTATTTCATATATGCAAGTTACAAGGCAAAAAAAAAACCTAAATAAATAAAGTTAAAACAATTAAATAAAATTGAGGACATGTTTGAAAAACACACATAATAACAATAAACATTATTTGTTTACGACTCCAAGATACAAATTCCAACAATATGACGTCAAGCAGACTCATAATAACAAATGATATAAGCAGGTGTAATCGTGTATTAATTTTATGCCACGTTGTGGTAATGCAATTTTGTTTTTTTATTTATTATTTATTTATAGTATACATATTTATACAGGTACACAGATATCAGTTATAAATCTATTAACCCCCAGCCCCCCCCCCCCAAAAAAAAAATTGTAACATGCAGAAACCAGTACAGATGACACGCCACACCATTCCTTGTGTTGTGGTATTGGTACGTATTATTTCATATATGCAAGTTACAAGGCAAAAAAAAACCTAAGTAAATAAACAAAGTTAGAACAATTAAATAAAAATGAGGACATGTTTGAAAAAAAGATTAAAAAGGGCACTTATTCAAGATCATTTCAAGATTTATGAGAATGGAAAATGGACACTTATTGCAAAGGAAAATGGGAACATGCCGAAGGAAAAGGGGCACGTGTCAAAAATAGAAAAGGGCACTCGTCAGAGGTGAAAAGGGGGAAGGGGCACTTTTACTAAGTAATAGGGGCACTTGTCAAAGGAAAAGGGGCACTTCTTACAAAATTAAAGGGGCACCTTTTCTATGTAAAAAGGGGCACTTTTGGGGTATCTGAAAAAGTGGGGGGGGGGGGCACTGTGCCCCCCTGCCCCCCCCCCCCCCCCCCCCCCCCCCCCCCCCCCCCCCCCCCCCCGGAGGGCCGCCTCTGCCCATGCCCCTCCATGCACCGGCACGTCATTGCAATATCATGTCTTAATTGCTTTGCTTTGTATATATCTCTTTGATTCCCAGAAAAAGGGAACAAAAAGGAGATTTTTTGGTTTGTTTGGGGGGGTGGTGGGGGCTGCATTATTTATACAAAAAACTTGAAGCCAATACCTTCTTTTCGTAGAATTTTTTTGAAGCAGCCCCCTCCAAAAAAATAAGAAGGCGATTCTTCAGCTCACTGAAGAATCTGCTTAGAGTTAGAGTACTATAGGCTAGGCCCTTACGTTAGATCTAGCTATTTACCAAGTCTCTAACTTTTAGGAGTAAAATATATGATTATCTGATTATGAAAAAAGAAAAATTCCATTCCTTTATTAATAGGATATTCTACTCTGAATGACTAATCTACTATATGATAATGATGTAGCTACAGTAGATATAGGTCTAGTTTACTCACTAAATCAAATTGGATATTCTACTCGGAATGAATAATGATAATACAGTAGATATAGATCTAGTTTGATTAGTTATACTCACACATCACTCGATCAAATTTGGCAGTACAATCATGCAATGCAGTGCAGCAGGCACGAGTCAGTGAATTCCGCCGCCGACCCGGCCGGCGGCGCTGTACGGCTAGCTGCACACTGAGCTGAGCTGCTGCGGTAGCACTAGGCAGTAGTCTGCTAATTTACGGCCAGGACGAAAGAATGTGAACAAACATCAACCATCTCGTCTAAAATGTACTATATTCGACTTCTCAATAATGAAATCTGTGTCAGGAATAAAAAATAGACCTTCATACGATTACGAGATAAAAATGATTTTTTTGCAGTGATTTACCGACAAAAACACTGCTCGAATTTCAGTGGTCCGAGTAGATACAACGCACATTTAATGTACGTGCGGCAATGCGGATTGCGAGCTGTGAGTAAATTGTCCGAAATGTCATTTTTTTTGTCATTTTACCTAAAGATAAGTCATAGATTGTCTTCATTAGTATCATTTAACACAATTCAATTAAAGATTTAGGTTGGAAAGGGCATTATTAAGTCACAAAGAGCACAAACATATACACATTGGTATCTCTCGATCGATTAATCAGGTCGGGACATCTCGGCCCAGTTTTTCCAGCTGGGCCGAGTAGTCCCGTGGGCCGAGTTAGCCCGGATTCGTGGGACGGTAGGAATGAGTAAGTGTGTCTGGTGTCCAGACACACTTACTCATTCCTACCGTCCCACGTATTCACATCCTTGTCAGTGTCCTCTTAATTTCAATTCAAAAGTAAATCTAATTACGAAAGAGAGTTGCGAGTGTTACTTACTTTTTGACATTGTGTCGGTGGATTCGTTTATCTTTATTCCTCAGACAGTAGACAGTTGCACAAGTAATAAATACCGTAACAATGATTCTTCATGTTTCAATAGAATAATGAACTTTGTCTGATGCTTGAATTTCGCCGCTTTCTCGATTCCATTTGTTATTTATGAAGCGCCCTCTGCGGGCGCGGGCTGGCTGGCTAGGGCAAGGGGGCAGGGTGGGGCCACTGACCTCTACAGTGGGTGGGGCCCTGGGTGGGGGGCATGGTGACGAAGCGAAAGTGCACTTTGTGATAAAAACACCAATTCAGCACACAAGTTAATGGAATGGATATGGATAAGCCTACATTATAATAATATTGGATATTTGGCCGACTCAAATACATAATATTTTTATTCTAATTGATATATGACAAAATAAATTGATTTGACCTATTTATTATATACAAAACAATAAAAATAAAAATAGGAAGAATATGTTAAAAAAAAGCTTCCGTCGCGGCAAAGGACTCGGGAGTGAATCCATGCAAGAGTTTCGAATGTGAAGGGGAAACAAAAGCCGTAAAAGCAACCCCTAAAAAATGAATAAGACAAGTTAACATCAGGGGTAATGACATGTATACCCAAATTGTGTTTACCGGGAAGCCCCCCCCCCCCGCCCTCTCGGATCATAGGAATTGAAGCAAAATATAATTTTTCAAAATTATAATAATGAAAATAAACATCACGTACAATTAGGCATACGAATCGAACTTAAACTGTTTGGATCATCGGAAACAATCCTCCTCTTGTAGGGCTATTTTTATTCCATATTTAAAAAAAAAACTTTGTATAGATTTGTATACATCATGTTATATGAATATACGCAATAATGTGCCCATTATAATAAACTTAATGGGATTACAGAGTAGATAAACTTGCCATGCTATTGCATTGTTAAAGAAACAATCTATGAAATTAAAGATTATAAATGTATAGGGAGAATCTTGTCTCGTCATATTGAAAGAGCCTATATGGAGATTTTAAGAGCTATAATAATAATTATTATCCATTTTTTAAAACAGGAATTAATTCCTTAAAAAGCGCCATTAAAGCAACCTGAGCAGGCATGTTAAAGCCGGGGAATACTAATTGTGGAGCGCCAGGAGTTTGAAGTCTGACATTCATGAGCGCTTTATATATACAACAAACCCACTATTATTAATTTTTACTGTAAAATCTTTTACAATGCAAGTGGAGGGAAAAGAAAGTAAATTTCATAATAGCTTTCACCTTAAAATCCTTAAACCTTCTCTGAGTATGCGACCCAGCCCAAGACGAAAATCCAATTGAACACCAATTGAAATTTCAATTAGTTTCAATTGGTTTCAATTTGTTCCAATTGGTCTCAATAGGTTTTAACAGATTTCAATGGGACTTTAATAGGACTTTAGATGGTTTCAATTGGTCCAGATTGGCCTCATTGGACACTTGGCCCCATTGGCCCCATTGGCCTAGGCCCCATTAGACTTTAATGGGTCCCCAATTGGTTTCAATTGGTCCAGATTGGCCCCATTGGACAAATTGGACCCATTGGCCCCATTGGCCTAGGCCCCATTAGACTTTAATGGGTCCCCAATTGGTTTCAATTGGACCAATTGGCCTTAATTTGGACTTCAATTATTGGTCCAATTGAAACCAATTGAAATTCCATTAAAGTCTAATAGGGCCAATTGAAATCAATAGGACCAATGCTAAATAGAAACCAATTGGACCAATAGAAACCATTAGGACCAATAACACCAATAAAAAACAATAGGACCAATAGGACCAATAGAAACCAACAGAAACCAATAGAAACCAACAAATCTAGGCATCTCATGAATATTCATTATCACTTTACACGTGTCACAGAAAAATAAATTTATCATGATTTGTTAAGCAAATTATGACAATGCACATCAATTTTGTGATTTCTATTTTCCTTCGGAAATTATTAACCAATAGAATATTTTGTCTGATCATGTTACAAATACATTCACGTTTTATATATCGATTATATCAGACGCGTACGCAGGATTTTTTCAAGGGGGGGGGGGGGGAGGTATATATTTATTATATGTGTACGAGCCTGTGTCACTGTAAATGTAACTCTTGAATTCACTTCAAATGATCTATGTGATGAAGTTAATGTAAATGAGATTGGAATATACCTAATTGGTAGACAGTTGCCAATATCGATTATGAAGTATCAGTAATTTATCACTGGTTCTTCTAACTGGATAGATTTACCAATTGAATCCCCATTGAATGCCCCATTGAATCCCAATTCAATACCAATTGGCAATTTGGAGTACATGGAAAGTGAAACAATGGGTATTCCCATTAAAACCAATTGCCAGTTGGTTTCAATGGGGACCAATTGCCAATTGGTTTCAATGGGTACCCATTGTTTCACTTTCCATTTACTCCAAATTGCCAATTGGGATTCAATGGGGACATTCAATAGGGATTCAATTGGATTTTCGTCTTGGGAGGGGTCTGTATATATGCCTGACCAAGAAAACGCGTGTAAAGGTTTTAAAAAAAAATAGAGAAGCGGTCCGCGAGGTTGAAAACTGACGTCAATTTTCAAGGAAAAGGGTACACTTTGCTATACGCGTTTAGGGGTATTTTTCTAGATCCAGACCCGAGGTTTTTTTAAGACGGGGCCCTAGTCAGGAAGCCGGTTGTCTATAACTTTCGGTTACGTCAGCTTGCTAATGTAAAAACACATCGAAGCTATTCTTTGCGTACCTACATGGGTACCGGTAGGAAGGAATTCCTTGAAATGCTGTGAGCGTCGAAATCGGCAGCCTAGCATAGCCGGGTAATGTTGGAGCGCCTTGAGGACCTTGCAAGGTCGATACGTGCGCTATATAAGAATCCAATATTATTATTATTATTATGTGACATACTTTACGACCGGGGTTTACGACGATCATCAGCATGGGTGGGATCCCAATTTATTTTAGGAGTACACTTTTGTGAAAATGGCTCATATAAACAAAAACCCTCTCGATTCCTCAGATGAATTTATGAAAACATCCATGCGAAATCCTCATCTTAGGGTGTATTTTGGCCTCAGAAGAAATCCTCGTTTAGGGGGTGTCTGGAAAATCTGTGGTCACGCATGCTTACAGTATTTCTACATGACTGAGGCCTTTGAGGTATGCGGAAAGAAGTATGGCCTGTTTATACCATTATACATTTCAAAATTCCATGCATTGATCACACGTTTGTTTACAATTGAAGTTAAACAAACGCACCACTCTCTTACAAAATATTGATCGGATAATTCTCCTTACCAAACCCCACACTAAATTTTTGAAGAAAAAACAAACAAACCCAAAACATCATTGTACTACGAGTCACTGTCTTATTTAATAACTTCCGGCAAACTCCTTTAAAGAACGCAAAGCAAACTACTAGCTTTTATAAAAAGCATCGATCCAACATAATTATCTTCCCATTGAGTTTTAAAAAGAAACCGAGATTCGTTAATCCTGCTTGTCTTCTTCATCTATTTACCTATGCTATCTCTCTCTCTCTCCTCCTCCTTAAACACATGTATATAGGCCTAACTTGTATTTTTTGGGGTAGTTCAACTCAATTCAATTCGTTTTATTAAACCATTTAAAATTAAAAAAAATCAATATACAAATCATGCATGTATGAAAATTATTAATACAGTATAAATGGTCAGGGTGCCCCTAAAAGCCAATAAACATGAGATACAAAACAAACTTAACTTTTTTTTTTTTTTTAAACACATTAAACACTTAACATACAGGCAAAGGGAAATAGGAAAAGGTGAAGTAAGAAAACGTAGGGAGGAGAGATGAAATTACATGTGTATTTGACATAGGTAATTATTATTGAACGTTTGAGTTTGGTTTTAAAGGAAGTAACATTAATGCTGGAAGTTACATCAGAAGAGAGGGAATTCCATATTCGAGGACTAACAGATTTAAATGCATTAAGAGTTGACTGATTGAGTGCTAATGGATAATGGAATTTAGAGTGGGAACGGGTATTATACTGATGGTAATCGTTATTATACTGAAATAAATTCATTATAATTAAGAGGTGCTAAATTATGTTTCACGTAATACATCAGGATCGCAATTTGGATTTTATGAATATCAAAAATTGTCAATATGTTTAACCTTGCAAATATTGGGCTTGAAGGACCTAAGTAAGGGGAGTTCGAACATAATTATGCGTAAGGCCTTTTTTTGCAGTCTGTGTATAGGGTTCAATTTAGTAGTGCCACAACTTGCCCAAGTAATATTACCATAATAAATATAGAGAAGTAATAAAGAATTATAAAGCATAAATAGGTGCTTTTCAGTAAGGGTACTACGTAATTTAGATAATATACCTATGTTCTTTGACATCTTATTACTTATACAGAAATGGTCTTCCTTAAATGAAAGATTATCATCAACTATAAATCCTAGGAATTTGACAGAGTTAACCAAATTTAAAGTAACATCATTCATTTTTATATGAAAATCTAAACAATTTTGTGATACATGAGGTTTTCGAAAATACATAACATTAGTTTTCTCATGATTAACAATCAATTATTTGTTAGCATCGAACCAATCGGCCATTTTTACATAATTCATTATTGTTTTTTTCTAACAAAAACAAAAAGTTGCTATGGGTTGAAATGATAGTTGTATCGTCTGTAAATAAGACATAATCAAAAAATGAAGATGCTGTACATAAATCATTAATATAAATAAGGAAGAGGAGCGGGCCCAGTATGGAGCCTTGAGGGACCCCTTACTGGGCTGTCGAGTGCTGGGAATTATAATTATTAAATGAAGTATAGTTACGTCGATCAAGTAAGTAGCTCTGAAACCATTCTAATACTGCTCCCATGATACCATGATGGGATAATTTATATAAAAGTATGTTATGGTCTATGAGGTCGAAGGCTTTTGACAAGTCTAAAAATATACCAAATGAGTGATAACTGTTATTGATATTAGTTAAAAGAGTGTTATTTAAATCAATTAATGCATGTTCACAGGAATGTCTTGCCCTGAAGCCACACTGACAATTATTTAATATCTTATTTCTATCCAAATAAGAAATAAATCTTTTATAAACAATTTTGTCCAGGATTTTTGAAAAACATGATAATAATGTAATTGGTCG